TGGTAATACTGGTACACCGAAAGCTTTGGCATGCAGCTGAAAATGGGATCATATTACTCTTACCATGAGATACTTTCATAACGGGTAACAGGCACCATATTATGTACTACCAAATGAAAGTATCACAAACAAGATTGCGTTTCGTCAGAACACATATAGCATAAGGTTATTTAAGGGTAGGTTTAAGGGACTTATACCACACGTCAGTCCTTGTTTTTACTTATACCATACGTTCCCGAATTATTTCAAGGGAACAAATGACCACAGGTGGGGCAGGATACGCTCACCTTTTCGCGAACAATTTGTATACAAACAGTATCACGTAGCTGTAATGCTGCTGAAACAAATATATGCTCATGATATAGTCACTATCACGACCAGTGTTATAGATCCCGAGCATGAACATCCATGTTGGTACGTCGTTATCACACACAATGACACGCCTCATAAATGTGTCACATGTTTGATAGATGTGCGTGGGGCACACTGTGTGTTCATGGCAATAGAACACGAAACTACACATATGTTTCTTGCACTTTTTCGATATGTTTTATGTTTCATTGTCTGAACAATACTGCTATCACAACTAATATCACTTTTTGTATTACTACACACAAAGTGCAATGAATGAATGCAGTTTTAAATTCTGAGGGAACTTCTGTGTTCATTGACATATTATCCACTGTCATTGCAAAATTTCTGAAATCGTTAAAAAAAACATCCATCCATCCATCTATCAATCTATCAATCTCTGCAGTGTGGAACATGGTTAATAAGAGAGTTATTGCTGAGATATTTCGAAGTAGTATGATAAGCTACAGACATTACAGAAATGTGACTTATACAAGTGAGATATGGAGTACATATAGTGATATAAACCACCGTTATGTAGATCTATATAAGATTCGTTTGGTGACATATAGAAACAGTATAGTGAGATATTGAAACAGTGTAATATGGCATAGAAACGATATTACTGAGATATAACTGCATTATATTGAGATAAAAAATAATTATGGTGAGAGAGAGGAGCAGTATTGGCGAGTTAGCAGTATTGGATATCGGATCAGTAGACGAGGCGCCCTTCTGTGTTACGGCAGCAGTCCTGTGATATATACAAGTGTGTTTGTGGGATATGTCATTAGTACCGTGTAGGGAGATGATGTGTAGCTAAACACTAGGCTCTGACAGAGTAACGGTTTTAGGAGAAATACTACCTGTGTTGTGAGAAATAAGGTCAGAATGTAGATAGAATATGATCGGAAATCTACCTGACATTTATTACATACATTTCGCTAATATGATCTCTGTGTTCCAGGATTAACAGTACACGAGGCAATTAAGGGCGTGATACTGCCACAGGCAGAGGCGGAGGTCCCCCATAGGGACATAAACTACACTGGTATTTAGACATTCAAGTATCTTCCATCAGACAAAAGTATGTAAATGACAGGTCAGTGGACATTATATGGTCAACCACTAAATAAATAAATTCTCATTTCCCCACCCCCGACCCCCGAATATTAACTGGTCGGTCTTCTAGAACAGTTTCTTTAAGTCTACTGTTTCTAAATTTCGAGCTCCTTTCTCAAACTATAATTATTGTTTAAACGGTCATTTGATAGAACAAAATTAAAACAATACCTGATTACTATATGTCATTGCTGACAAAAATCCCAGTCCCCAGAATATCAAACTTGGGTCCCCGAACAATACTACCTTAAAGATTTGTCCTTTAATGCTACGTTGGAACTCAGAGGATACGGGCCATTAGTGTAAACCAATCAGTTATGACTCACTTAGACAAAGTATACTTCATCGTTTGATGGGTGTTCCTTGATATGACTTATTGTAGTCACGATGCTGTAATATATTGCTATTGGCTTATGGCTGTCTGTACATTGTGGTTTATGTCCTGTACTCCGAAATAGGGTTGGCTGCACCTGATTCCTGTACATGATAACTGATCGTCCGCCAGAACGCCAGAGAATGTAGTTTGGTTTACAACTAAAAACCCACAAAATCACCACAATCTAATGTTCACCAGCAAGCGGTCGTGACTAGAGCGACATGTATTTCTTGATAGACCTGCATGTTCCTACATACGACTGATTTGCGGGTGCTTGGGTTATGTCAACAATCCAAATGTTGAATAAATACACATGGCACATATAAGAATATATAATTAGGGTGTACGTCACCGGTATATCAAACGAATATATGACGAAATAGCGGTCAAAATGAGATGAATTAGGACAAGCTCAACCGCCTGCACCCCCACTGACACAATGTGCGTGAAAAACGGTAAGACATATCAGGTCGAGGGAACCAAATGGTGATGACAAACGTTCTGTTTGTTGCAAGATGCTGTTCAGGTGCATGTGTTCATGAAGTACGGAAAACAGTTTTGTAGTAAACAGTTATTAACAAGCATTTCTATGACTAGACTTAACACAATTGTTCAAACAAACAATATGAAGGTGTAAATGTTAAAGTTAAAGGACACAAAATGTATATAGGTCGGTTGCGTTAATGGCAAACTGGTCATATGTAGAAAGTCTGAAGATTTAACAATAGGACTTTACTAAATTACAAAATACAGAGTCTTCTGCTCCGTTTCGCTCATTTATAAACTCCTGTTAAAGTAATGTTCATAGTTCTTTTCTCTTTAACCACCCCTGTCTAAAATCCTGTCCCAGACATTTATTTGAATTTTCATAATTCGTCCGTCAGTTTATTTCCTGTTATAATCAGTTGTCATATTAACAGTTTTTTATATTTTAAGGTGATATCATGTTTTTTTACAAAACGTTTTAATCTTTTAGGTTTCTTTCTTCGTTTTCAAAGACATAGTGTTGTTTCTTTTTTAGGAACTAGAGCCTCGCGTGACACACAGAACAAACAACAGATAAACCTGTCACACATGTCAGCATTGCAAGACTACGACTGCAACCACGAGGCACATGACGAGGAGCTGACCCGGTAATGTGTGGACATCAACAACAGATTTGAGATGTCATTTCAGATAAATTGATTACTTTTGTTCCTTGTACCTCTCTCGTAAAGAATCAATTTTAGAAAGGTGATGGACAATTTATATTTAACATTAACCTAAAAGCGTCAGCCCCAACATCTGTGCTGTCCGACATCCAGACAGAACCTGAGACGCATAATGATATTGCTGCAGGGCAAAGTGAGCACGCTGAGAAGGGCAGTGCACAATACGAGGGGTATTCTCGGTTTGTTGGAAGGAAAGTAGTACACTCTCAACAGTGTAAAATACGTTTTGTATACCCTAGAGTTTCGTGAAATGAAGTGTGACCGAAAAACTAATAAACTTAGGATCCAACCTGACTTGCACCGGCATTAAAATAGGGTTAGAATTGACTCCAAGGAAAGGTCACTTTTATAGCGACTTGCATGCACGGGTGCGTGGTATCCTTGTTCTAGTTCGGACATTGGCCGCCGGTTTTATAACGACGTTAACAGTCATTAAGACATGCACAATGAGAAGTGATGAAATAGACCAGAAATCGGGGTTGTGCTTCAACAGGACTTTGCTCCATAGAAGTGAAGTTATGAAGTGACAAAATTTCTCAGCTCACGACAGTTCTCGAGGGGCAACAGTTGTAATATGTATTGGCAGTAAACGGACATTGGACAGACAGAATGATGTCAAAGTATATAATTACTTGGAGTAAACAAACACTGAGTTGAACAACAAACTTGATAAACAGGATCCACTGGTTATTAGACTCACGTAAGCACAGATTACATCACGCGATTACTGCACAACCTAAACCCACCCAGTAGGTCGTTCACATAGCCTTACCTTGAACAAAACTTACTTTGTGTCTATATGAAATGACACTTACCTTCTTTGACACTCATTTCTATACCTAGTGGTACATAAGTATCAGTGAGATCAACATCTTGACTCCTTTCAGGACATTTTGGAATGCCATGGTTTCATGCATCACAAGAGAATCATCAGAAGAATACATGTGTGCACTATCCATTCCGTCATGATGTATGATAACATGAAGTAAACCCACCCTCCCTTCATAATTGGTAAACAATATACTAGCGAGGGTAGAGTGAGTTTGGGGGATCTATACCCTGAATTATCCAGTCAGTAGCTCCAAAAGAATAAGAATGTCAAAGCAAAGCACAGCATATTTAATTGTGCCTTTGACTTTATAACATGATATGTGTGTTCTATATATTATATTTTACAGATGCATAAAACAATGAGGGTTCGGGTGATCCTGGCACTGTAGGCTGGTTAGGTTCATCATCAACTCGGGTACCCTTGTCCTTCTCCTAAGAAGCTCTGTTATCATTATCGTTATCATTATATTATTTACTGTTATGTGTTATATGTTGTTACCATCGTGAAGTAGCCGATAGAAAGTCATGCATCTTATGTAAAGAATGTGAAATAGAACACTTGTGTTGATTTCCACTTAGATCCCAAATTATAGGACATCAGCAAGCGATGAATCATTGTGGCCGGAGAGTAGGTATATATCACCATGTTGGTTTATTGTAGAGCTCACATCACATGCAAGGATGTATTCCTTTCTAGTTTTGCTCGTGTTTTTCTCTTGTCGTATACTATAATCTCAAGTAGGTAAACATGTTTGTTTGTTGTTATTGCTGCTGTATTACAGGGGTATGAAACTACTCGAGTCTGGACCAGACAATCTTGTGATCAGCATCATGAGTGTCGAACTACATAACTGGGATACGATGATCTGCATCGACCAAACGATCTTAATCACCCGATACCTTTAGTCGCCTCCCATGGCAAGCATGGGTTTTTGAAGACCAATTCTAAGCCCTGCACACCAGGTACGATAACTAGTGGCGTTATATATGTATAATTCTTGTGTTTACCTTAGCAACTTATGTAAGTACTGGCAAATGTAATGTTGAAAGTGATTACTATTTATAAACGCGCTCTTGGTATTCGGCGATAACAGCCACGTCTAACTTACCGTATAGGATGTCCTGTAAGATATTTTCGCCCAATAGAATACAAGGCCAACTTTAAAGCATTCACAGAAGTGGCAGCACTGAACTTGTTGTACTCCCTCTTTGGTGCCATCCAGGCAATTCTGAACTCTCGCTTGTCCCCCTGGACGCTGGGTGTGTGTAGCAGGAGGATGGGGAGAAGGAGGAACACTCCCCAGGTGTACATTGTCCCTGGTCTACCAGCCCGAGCCTGGCTGTACACCGTTCATCTGGCAGGTAACACACAACAGAAGCTGCTTCTAGCGCAATGATGACAAGTCGTCTGCTTGTTCTCATACATCACTCATGGCGGGAAGGGTGACAAACCGGCTAATTCAAGACTGTTACAGCCTGATGACCCGGGGGATGACACCAGACGGAGTGACCACTATATGAATGGTCCCAGAAACTCGGACAGTGGCACAGTGGTCAAGGCTTCTCTGAAGTCTCAACAGTTATATCTGTTACAGTACCATGACGTCAAACTATATGAGGTATTCCAAGACTGTGGACAGCAATACGTTTTCTCATGACAGCTTAATGACAAGGGAATGGCATGTAGTGTGCTGCTTGTTCGTGTAGGAATTAGATCCAGGATAACCACCGAATAATGGGTTAAATCTCCTGGGGGGTTATATCTTCTGGAGGGATAGATCTCCTGGGGGTTAGATGTGCTGGTGGTAGGTGTGGCAGACACAGGTGACCTCCATGCTCGGGACACACCTGCATGTCTTAAATAAAGTAACTGACAAAACTATACCGGGAAAGTTTCGAAATGCCCAGAGGTAAGTGTTTGTTCCGAACAAGAAGATGTGCTGCGCACATACAGAATAACTCACATACCATTGAATGATTGATTACAATATACTTCAGTTTACCGTTCTACAACCACTATGGGTAAACGGGTGGCCCAGTTGCCTAAGGCGGCCATAGTTCGATATGCAAGATTACATCCCTTGGTCAAGCCAGAATCCTATGATTGTGGTTTGAATCCCAGAGTCCCCATAATCATTGGTTCCTCTACACCATGCTGGTGTTGTTGGTCTAACTCATTGACATCTTCGACCTGTATAATCTCGGGTTTTCTTCCTCGGCCAGGTGTTGTACCGATAACCGGGATCCTGTTGACAGACGGGTGACACAAGTCTCTATGTCACTTCCACTGTAGCAGTTTATTGAAAATAGCGTTGATGTAACGACAAGTTATAATTTAAGAAAATAGCAACACAGAAACTACCTGAAGTTTAGGATGATTAAACTGTCGTAAGTTACAACATCAGGATCCCGATACACAAAGCGTTCGTAACGTTACGACATGTCGTAACTCTATAGTTTACCATAGTTTACTGACGAATGTCGTAGCGCTACGAACGCTTTGTTGATAGGGACCCTGTTGTATTTGTAACGTATGCCCTCTTGTCTGTCTCAAAGATATTTATTTAATCAAACAATTCATTCGAAAAAGCAAGACCACACTTTATAAGTTTATATTTCCTTTTTAATGTAAAGCTTAGACGAGATACAGGCTTCTTTTCTTTTGGACAATGTCGGTGACATGACAACAAAACTTCATAAGCGTATGAATAGCACATTTTGACGTTTATGGCCGCGGACGCCGGGTGTCTCATTTTCACATATTTTTCACCACTATTTTGTCCTTTACGGTCAATAAAATCTCTTATAGCGGTTAAACAATATTGGATGTTATCTTGTGTTGACGTTTCATAATATTTTGTAAAGAAGTATCTTTAATTATATTTAACCATAAATAAAGTTAATCTCATACAGATAAAGGTTCAAACTGCAAACTCTAGATCATAATTGAAACTGTAAACAGTAGGTAGAATACTTATCTACTCAACCTTCACTTCAAAGAAAACGCCTTCACTTCCGGTCATCTGCTTTAATGACGCGCCCATCGACACGCAGGGTGTTCAGAGGAGGACGTTCTTTGATTCAAGAATAGGACGAGTCACTAAGCAGTTTCAATAAATCTTACAAATTGTATTGTTTTGTTTTTATTGTAAACAGTGGTTGGGAATGTAGGATACACATGTCATCGTAAGTAATGCAAGCAATTTCCAGAAAAGGTCACGATCGTAGATGGTTATTGTCTGTTTTAGTTTTCAATCCGTGACGCTGTAGATCAGCCAGCGGCGACGTTTGACAAATAAGAGTGACAGGTTGTCTTTTAGAAATGTGCGATTCAAATGCTGGTATTAAACCTCATCAGCATCAGTAAGCTGCCTGACAGCAAGTCTAGTATCTTTACACGTTAGATTCTCAAGGGTGAAAATACATTCCGTAAATACCATGTACACACAATGAATGAGGACAAATTCTCACTCTCACGAATTCAGATTGTTCAAACGTGTGATCTCTTCACTTTGTATTTGAGATACAGAGCCATGTATTTCCTATGCAACAGCCGATTCTACATCCAACTGTGTTTATTGAATTAATCCAAATTGAAAATAATTTAAATTATAGACAGATAATATACGCGATACATCGAGGAAAATAAGCGTAAGGACAGACGTATTTCCTGAAGTGTATCTGAAATCTACTCAGTTTGTAAATCGAGAGGTGTTTTCACGTCGGATTCTGTATTTAGTCCAACAAAGGTTGTGTGATTGTTGTGACCTAAAACTAACAACGGTGATTAGTGTTGTCATGTTATTACAACTACTTAATATCAAAGTTTATATTGTAAATAACATGATTGATTGTCAACATTATGAACTATAAACATCAAGGCCGGAGCAGCTGGAACATTGCTGGACCTACAGGGGCAGCTGAACATTACAAAGCTGCGGTCAGGGTCTTGTGGAAGGTCTATTTTGTCACTCCTAACCTACACTTCTAGTAATAGTATCAAACAAATATGGCTGCTAGGTATCCTGTGTGGTACCTGTAGTGAACAATCAACATCAATATCTATCAAACAACAAGTGATTCTGTTCGACATATCCCATGTTGCTGACGACGAAAGTGAACGGCTCAAACCGCTGTGGCAGGGTACGCACACATCACGTGTGTGACGTCAGTCAGGTACGTCACACTCTTTAATGACGTCAGCAAGGTACGTAAGATTACTTTATTACGTCTGTTTTCTAAATTCACAACAAATTGTTTGATAAAGCTGTTGACGTAATAATCTTTTGATCATTTGAATTAAGTAAATTGTACATTACTTGGTGGTCCGACGTAACTCTAGACGTTGACCTTTACCTGTTTGGGAGGAAAGTCCGACGTAACGCTAGCCGTTGACGTTTACGTGTTTGAAAGGAAAGTCTGACGTCCCGCGAGACGTTGACCTTTACCAGTGTACATGTACACCTTTTACAATCATGACCACGTGGAATCTGGACTCGAATCCACAAATCACAGGATTCTGGAACAATCAAGGGACAAAACTCGATTGTTGTTCGCTTAGATTCATTAGTTTGTAGCAACGATAGGACGTACGGCCTGACGAACCTTGGTCCTTACATTGTACTGAATCCTGAAGAAATGAAAATTCACGCTGTAACAAGAATATATATTTTATTCATGTCAGAAAATGTAACAATTCGTAAGGTAAAAAACACTAAACAATGCTTGATTGGACCGAGTTCAGTGAGACTTTGTGTGTATTGGTGGTGTGTTGAATATGTCGTACGTTAACGACCACAACTAACTGACGTGGGTTGATATTGCGCTTTGTATTGACGAAAAACATATTTCTACTAATGTCAATTTAAACATTTAATAGATTATGAAATAGACGAATTACCTCTTTTTCGACCATCAAAATCATGGCATAAAATACTTCAATTATTTATGCGTGATCCAATATTACGTTGAAACATACAAGACAGCGTGCGCGTGTGTGTGTTGTTGTTGTTTTTTAAGCTAAAAGCACTTGTTGTTATTAATGTCAGTACGCAGCTCTGGGTATTTAGTTCACATTAGACGTTAAAACAATTGCTTTCTAAAATTAAGATTCAAAGGCTGTCAGAAAAAAGCACTTGTGTTCATAGCTGGAATACTTGCCTTTGGCCCTTTCAGCTTATTGGCATATGTGTTAACAGAACAAGACCAAAATACAATCAGCAGATCCTGACATACTTAAGGGCCTCAACCCTGTTCGTTAACTTTCAACCTGTATCTGCCATTCACTTAAGATGCTCAGTCTGTTGTGTAATCACTAAATATATTGCTTTAAACATAGTTTCTATGAAGACCTTAACACTTATTATTTCACGCTTTTCGCAGAACAGAGAAATCTCAGTAGTTCCTCCAATTGCTGCTGAAACTTTGACTTGATGCTGCTATCACAGACGCACAATATTTGTTCACAGTTATGAGTTCTGCATTTTGTTCAGCGTGTGACGAGGAAACATCTCATCACACGAAACCGTGCCTCACGCCTGGATAGTAGATACCCTCACCTCCGTCATGACACCATTCTGCTTTTCCTCGATCATATTGTTAACCTCGAAAGTCGCAGAATAATGAATTTGAAGCAATGACACCTTGAAATGTTTGAACTCAGCAAAGAAGGTGCAGAAATATATTGCAGTGACAATGGCCAAGACCCATTCCATGGCGGTGGAGGCGATGTGGTGGGAGTAGCCCTGAAGGAAAATACACATGTGGTAATACTGAGTGTCTTAAAAATATCAGACTATGATAGATTAATTGACTTGAACAATCGCCTGCATCTCTACTGAATACACACCCTACATGTGTTGTCAGCAAACATTCCAATATATACACATAGGGAAAAGTATCGCAACACCTGTAATTTCCACCCCCTATATAGCCATATATATTCATATTATCAATCATGCTTGTTTGTATGACTATTTTGACCTTGGGGGAACCTTACATTGATTTTAGATATGTACATGCTAAGATCAAAGGCGAACATCACGTGTAGGCGTCATTTTATAAATATCAAGTAAAGTGTTTTACAGCTAGATAATCTGGAAAATCAATTGACTTCGTCGTTGAAAAGGAAATATGGGGCTATGCGGCGTCTTCAGCTGACAACAGCTCAAAGACAGCAAGTTATTGGTATGCAGAATACTGGCATGTCACTGGGGGCTATTGGAAGACATACTGGTTGCCATCCATCGACTATCAGACGATTGGCCCGTAAACATCAGCAAACTAATGACCGTGAGACCATCGATTGGCCCGTAAACATCAGCAAACCGATGACCGTGAGACCGTTCAGGCAGACTATGGGTGACTCCTAGGGAGGATACAGACTTTCTCAAAATCACCAGACTTGATTCGTTCATGTAAAGCGGCGTGTTAAAAACAGAGAGGTTTCCACATCGTAATTTGGCCAAAAGAACAATGCAAAGTCGCCTAAATCGGCTGGTTCTTGAGCCAGACGACCTATCAGACATCCGTTGTTATCCCCAGAGAACAAGTCAAGTGTCAAGCTTGACGTCATTGGAATTTGACGTCGTGGGAAGGGTCCTCTGGTCGGAAGAAATTCTATTTCTTGTTCATGACTAATGGTCGAGCTCGTGTTTGTGGATCATTCATCACTGCTTCTCACATGACCATAAACTTGACCTTGTGACGATCAGACAAAATCTGAATGGACGACGGTACATCACTGGCATCCTTGACATGGTTGTTTCACCACATCTCGAGGAGTCTTTGTTTTGCCATGTTTCCTTCCCCAAATGGGCTAGTTTTTCGTTCTTTTTGCATTTAGATTTGCAATTAAATTATCAGTTGAAGGATAATATTAAACTGAGGTTTGGATACATCTCTTTGCTATGGTTAATTTCAACATATTGATAATATATGAGTAGTACTAGAGTGGGTTTTTTGCATCAGATGCGGCTTAGAGGCGTATTTTTATGAAATAAGTTCCCAAGCCCCCTTTATAAGAATCTCATTTTCGCTAAGGCTACCCATTTTTTCAGCAACCACCAACCCCATTTTCGACCCGATACCAAGACAGGTATGCAAAAGAAACTGGCACCTAGGTTGCTCGAGCTTCCAATTAGACATATGGAGTTGCTACAGTATACAGGATACACTCCGACAACAACAACTATGGCAAAACAAATCGCAGCAACTTTCCAAGAAATGGACATTTGATGCAGCAAATCGATCGCACCCTACCTCCTACTGGAAAACACGCACGACAACAACCTCGTGTCCATATCTCGACGGTAGACTATCTCGACGGTAGACTATCTCGCCGGAAATCTCGGGGAAGCCAACCTGCAACCACTCTCTGATCTTCCAGCCTTTGTCGACGACCTCTACGTGTTTGGCTATCTATCTCACAAAGACATCGTGCAGCCAAGGGAAGCGTCCAGTGTACGACGGGAGAGCACGGCCACGCGAAAAAAATCGTCAGACTACTCCACTGGATACTACGCACAACCTACAAAGAGCATACCGAAGCCACCAAAATGTATGCGACACTTCTCCACACGGTGTAAAAGACGAGTGCAGGAGCTATTGCCAGCACGATCCAAAAGATCGAAAGCGAAACCCGGCAGAAATCGCTAGGAGCATGGAAGCCCAAAACGACGACGAAACCCCTTTTGCAGTGTTCGTGGCCAACGTGGACGTCTCCGAAATCGCAATCGACCAACTCCAAGAGAAATTGTCCAATCTAGAAACAAAACTACAAGGCAACAGACTAGGGATCTACAGCATCGACTACACCCGAGACTATTCCGGCGTCCTAGACCGCAAACAGCTCGTGCAATTCCTCTGTAGCCAACATGGATTTGTCGAACAAGGCGATCTTGTGGAAACTATCGAAAGCGGAAAACCCACCATCCTGGACAACACCTACTCGGTTGGCAACCATGTTTGCACGTGGGAAGAGACAACAAAGTCTGGCAAAACGATGCGCACCAAGCTTGTACAACAAAGTCGTTTGCAACTTCGAAGCTGGAGAAATCTGAGAACCGATTTGCGGCCATCTTGCCGACTATGTGGATTGTCCAAACGAGCATCTCCGGAAAACCTTTCTCCACCCAGACCTACAACAACGAGGTTGCACTCGCATAGAAGTGTCCCTGTACGACTGCAAAGACACCGACATGTCCACCAACAGAGCAGAAACGTTTTGCAAGATGTGTTGGAGCGGATTTCGGCAGCAGGCGATGGTCTATTCGTAGTACAACCACCAGCAACGCAGTGGCTTCCTCTCGCAGAAGAGATAGACCGCTGTTTGGTCCTAGCCGACCATCCACAGCAAACGATCTTTGTCCCGTGGTACGCACATTCGAAAACGGGCCGCGTGTCCGGAGTACACATTCGTCCGACCAACACAAAATCCTGGGAAAAATCCATCCGACATGGATCCAGACACATTTCTCCCGACAACTCCACACATCGAATGGCAATGGAGGCAGAAAAATGCCAAAAGCTGGGCAGAGAAGGATCCGACCAACCTTTCCAAGAAATGCCGAACATAGCGGCCAATCGCAAAATTTCTACTATGGATGTAGAGCTGTTGGCTTCTTGCTGGCAGCTAGCACCGTCTTGGTGTCCTCGCCTTTGGCATAGCATCGGAGTGGGCCTAGTTCCACTGTATCTCCTTCTACCAATAAGATGTCCACGCAGAATATTGGAACCTTTCGAAAACCGAAGTCTCCTATGGTCCAGTCGATGGTTTTTTCCCAGGATTTTGTGTTGGTTGGACGAATGTGTACTCCCGACACGTACCAATGTGCGTACCACGCGACGAAGATCGTTTGCTGTGGACGGTCGTCTAGGACCAAACAGCGGTCTATCTCTTCTGCGAGAGGAAGCCACTGCGTTGCTGGTGGTTGCACTACGAATAGACCATCGCCTGCTGCCGAAATCCGCTCCAACACATCTTGCAAAACGTTTTCTGCTATGTTGGTGGACATGTCGGTGTCTTTGCAGGCGTACAGGGACACTTCTATGCGAGTGCAACCTCGTTGTTGTAGGTCTGGGTGGAGAAAGGTTTTCCGAAGATGCTCGTTTGGACAATCCACATAGTCGGCAAGATGGCCGCCAATCGGTTCTCGGATTTCTCCAGCTTCGAAGTTGCAAACGACTTTGTTGTACAACTTGGTGCGCATCGTTTTGCCAGACTTTGTTGTCTCTACCCATGTGCAAACATGGTTGCCGACCGAGTAGGTGTTGTCCAGGGTGGTGGGTTTCCGCTTTCGATAGTTTCCACAAAATCGCCTTGTTCGACAAATCCATGTTGGCTACAGAGGAATTGCACGAGCTGTTTGCGGTCTAGGACGCCGGAATAGTCCTGGGTGTAGTCGATGCTGTAGATCCCTAGTCTGTTGCCTTGTAGTTTTGTTTCTAGATTGGACAAATTTCTTAGAGTTGGTCGATTGCGATTTCGGAGACGTCCACGTTGGCCACGAACACTGCAAAAGGGGTTTTGTCGTCGTTTTGGGCTTTCCATGCTCCTAGCGATGTCTGCCGGGTTTCGCTTTTGGTCTTTTGGATCGTGCTGGCAATAGCTCCTGCACTCGTCTTTTGCACCGTGTGGAGAAGGGTCGCATACATTTTGGTGGCTTCGGTATGCTCTTTGTAGGTAGTGCGTAGTATCCAGTTGTGTAGTCCGATGATTCTTTTCGCGTGGCCATTCTCTCCCGTCGTACACTGGACGCTTACCTTGTGCTGCACGATGTCTTTGTGAGATAGATAGCCAAACACGTAAAGGTCGTCGACAAAGGCTGGAAGACCTAAGAGTGGTTTGCAGGTGCGTTTCCCCGAGATTTCCAGCGAGATAGTCTACCGTCGAGATATCGGACACAAGGTTGTTGCCGTGCGTGTTTTCCAGTAGGAGGTAGGGTGCGATCGATTTGCTGCATCAAATGCCCATTTCTTGGAAAGTTGCTGCGATTTGTTTTGCCATAGTTGTTGTTGTCAGAGTGTATCCTGTATACTGTAGCAACTCCATATGTCTAATTGGAAGCTCGAGCAACCTAGGTGCCAGTTTCTTTTGCATACCTGTCTTGGTATCGGGTCGAAAATGGGGTTGGTGATTGCTGAAAAAATGGGTAGCCCTAGCGAAAATGAGATTCTTATAACAGCACCGGGACTCCCGATCAGTCAATATTCGGAACTTTGGGTCTAGGCTGGAGGCACATCGAAGGATGCCTTTCGATAGACCATCGCCGTTTTTAAGGGGTAGGGGAACTTATTTCATAAAAATAAGCCTCTAAGCCGCATCTGATGCAAAACCCCACTCTAGTACTACTATATGTGTTTTGTATCGAGATGGGGAGTCCTACAAATATGGACAGTGTAGTGCTACAAAGTCATGTGGGCGGTATGCGTCAACAGTTTGAGACCATTGATATAGATATACAGAAAAAACAATGCCTTTACCCTCCAGATTTGTAATATTTGGACCCAAAACGTACTCGGATGCATTTGATATTTTTTGTCAGTTATGAATGCCTTGATCGAACTGAGAGAGCGGTTTGGCCATTTATGCTAACGTTTCAGGCCACCCTTGCTAAAGACCCTGTATGGTAAGTTTAAGGTTATCTGTTTGTTATTTCGTGACGACTTCAGCTAAAATCCATCGGAAACCATGGCAACCTAGTGACTGATATCATGAGCAGCCTGACCAGATCACCGAGAGTGACCAACCGATCCACATATTTTGCTGGGGACGTACTCCCATCTGGAATCCCCAGGGTTGTGTATTGCTGTAATTGTCCTAACAGTACAGCCTCACAGATGGACCTATATCCCCAGGACAAATACAATGTATGTTTCTTACCGGCATTGATGGGTCCCACTTGGGTGTGATGTCAGCATGTAGTCCAGCTGCGGCTTTAGTTGATGTTAGTGTTGTTGCTGCTGTTGTTGCTGCTGATGATGCTGCTGATGTTGCGGCTGTTGTTGTTGTTGCTCCTGTGTCATCAGCTGAGCCTGCTTTCAACGACTCTATCACCACTGAAAGCCATTGCAGATGACGTAAACTTACTCATCAAACGTCAATACACATGTGAACTGGAACTGTTCAACATGACCTTTGATATACACTTGGGTGGTCAGTCACAGATTCCAACAATGTCTCTGATCACAGTGTGTAGTGACATGGTCGGTACGCGTATGCGTATTGTACGTACGTCTGCACATCCGACAGTTGCTGACAGCCAGGTGCAACACCTCGGTGATAACAACCATCATTAATGATGAAGTATATGAAAGAGTACAGAAATAGCCCCGAGTTGATAGTGTTAAATAACATACACTGTTCCTTTACTTGCTACAATGAATCAATCTATACAATTCTAATTAATATTTTTGCAGATATCTTCTATACATTTCGTGATGTCAGTTACAATCTTGCTCATTACAGAAAGTTAACTGTATCTGATAAAAAGCCTTACAATAATAAAGTTGTAAAGTAGAAATCATTATCGCCAACAACAAATGACTGAAGTGTTAATACAATGTAGAGGTATAGACCTGTCCACCTGAATCGGAATTATATCTCTTGATCTGTGTGGTGATGTACTGATTCCATTACTGAACAGTGAGTGGGTAGAGAGTGAGTGGGTAGAGAGTGAGTGGGTAGAGAGTGCACTAATAAATGACGTATTATTTGCATTTTAAACCACATCATCCTGTAGCCAAGCAAAATTCATTTCAGAGAAGAGGTTTCGAAGAATAAGAACCCTCAGCTGAAAGTTATCACTGAGACTGTCACTTTCAAGGAATGGTTCCAGACCCGCACTCACCTAGTAACAGTGACATGAGATGGATGATGGTGAGGATAAGCCGGAAGTGACGCAACCAGTCCCTGTGTCCGGGCAAATCGCGCATCCTAAACGTCATGATGGTTTGGATCCAGCAGTATACATTGCCTCCAGCGAAAGCCAGGAAGGCTCCCAACAGGTGAACTGGGAGAACATTCGTTTCCTGAAATGTGACTGGGGTTATTCAAAGAACAGCTGACGGCCGTCGACCACAATACACATGCACATTATTCGAATCAACCGTATCCTGGAACTAAATGGGAACAGTTGAGACATGAAAATACATAATAAGAAATTAATTGATCTGTTTCGAATGCATAGTAAGGAAAAAATATTAAACCAGTTCTCTGGAGGTGTATTTGTAGCTTCGTCCTTTATGTTTGTGATGTCTAGGCTTATAATACAACTATATACCATGAAAATCGACATTAAGGTCTTGATATGCCATTTATTTACTAAACGTTTAATATTCTGTGATTAAACTGGTTAAATGCGCCGATGTGTTCGGTCAGTTACCTGAAAATTGGCAACAAGGTAAACTCCGAGGGCAGAGATCATCCCAACAATAAGGGCTACAACGTTGGTACAGTGTAGAATCTTTCTGCCGCTTTCCAGGAACCATAACTTGACGTGGCAGTAGCGAATATACACGCATATCACACCTGAAACATGTGGCAGTGCCGGATATATAGAGAATCTCACCCAAGTGTCTTCTGATGTCAATGATATCAATATGAGTTGATAAAATTACAAATATCCGAGGCTTGCCGAGGATATTTTAACTTTTATCAACGAGTGTTGATATATTTGATTTCAGAAGACAAGAGGGTGAGATTCTATTTATCATCCAAAATCACTCTTCATTAGTTTTCAATGAAAAATGTACATCTCTGAACACGGTTCTGCTATTAAATTTGCAGTGCAGCGATGTCATAGCATTGTGATGTCATCAAGTTCATGACGCCATAGCATTGTCAGGGCAATTTTACAAAATCTACTGTCAAAAGGATATCTCCTAGGAGATATCATATGATCTCACACAAGCGATATCTCCTGTGGAACACAGTTTCGGATGATAAACACGTATATCACACCTGAAATATGTGTCAATAGTGGATATATAGGCACATCACGCAGGTTTCAATGTGAATGCAACTACCGAAAAATAGCTCTCCATTGAAATAATAGTGGGAGCAAAGCTTCTCCTGAGTAAGGATGACTCATTGTAATGTGTTGTAGAGTGACATGATCCGGTGATCTTAGCATTGCTCCAACCTCGTACCAAATATACATAATTTCGATCTTGATACCGCCTACAGGGGGGAACAAATGGCTTTCGATCGATATAAATATAATTACTGATATGAACTGAATAATACAATGAAATCATACAATACTCTCCTTCATCTAACTTTGTTAAGGGCTGTGTCCCTAACCATTTGTAATACATTCTAATGTATTGCATTCGCTCAGACGTAAAACGTAAATAAGTTACATAAAGCAAAATATCTGGACAGTCCCCAAACCCGTCCCATCCTGCGATCATTGCTTATGTTCATCACTATATCTGTAGTAGTGTCAACTGTTGAACCAGGCTTTGAAAACCTTCGTACTTAGAAATGCATACAGCCCTTGTAGGAAGCCAAACACGCAACTCTCCGGCGGGTGGGTCCCGGTGTCGCTGAAACAAAACGTACCACCAGTTACCTCCCTTGAGGAGTCAGTGCAAGCAAAAACAAGCAGAATGAAGGAATGTCGTCGTATTGATGGGGTTAAACTTAACCAAATTACAAAGAGTACTAAATTACTAAATGATTAGTTTACGCAGCTTGCAATGTTTCTCAATGTCACTGTGAAGGAAATGAGTGTTTTCATGCGCATGATTTGATCACATCATGAAAATCATGATCACAAATAAGAAACGACTACCACTTAGAACAGTTGTTATGTATTATAATTACATTTTACCCACAAACATAGCCAGAGAACAGTGAACACATGGAGAGAGTTCGATGAGGGGTGTTGGCACGAGGCGTAGGTTTATGGGTGCGTTATGAAACGGGGGAAAGAACAGTCACTCAGACATATTATCTTGATATCAAGTTTCGTTATTGAACTCAGAAGTAAGGACGGCCGTGCAATATTGCCACCCGTTCCTTTTATCGTCCGTCAGAGAGCTTACCTGATGTATGGAAACCTGGCATTGACGTGGCCAAGACTGACTGCAATACCATATCTGAAACCAAGTAAGAGGATAACTGAACTGATATCTCTCCATACATATCTGGAATAGGGTATTGCTCAAACAACGCAGAGATTTTACATGCTTTGTGTCATGTTAAACACAGATGATGTATTCACGACACGTAATTCTTTTCCTACATGTTTCAGTGATATATCCGGTTTAATGCTTGTCGGGATTCAAAGTCACAAGAACGTGCAGTTCCTTTCAGTGACATGGAGTCAGGTACATACGTAATGAAACAGAAGACCGGAAGCGAGATGAGAAGCACGATGGGAAGAATCTCTCCCTTGCACGTCATGGTGACGTTTTGGTGGTGGACGACGGCAGAACGACCTTGTTCTGCTTCTGTAATATAAAACAACATTCTCAGCGAGAGATTGACCTCCGGCAAATAAAGATAGGATTCAGCTAAACTTTATGATGACTTGCTCAATTATTTAGAGTTCACGAAGTTCCGTAACTTTTGCATTGTTGATGCTGCAGGACGCCAATAAGTGACAAACAAATTTGATTCTATAAAATGGACGTGAGATCTGTCGTCACCGAATCATGTACATAGATACCTCGAGGCCTATACACCATGTTGGTTACTAGCGTTATATACTGCATGTATACTAGCGTTATACCGCATGTATACCTAGCGTGTTGGTCATGCATGTATACCATGTTGGTTAGTACGAAAACAGGAAACATCAGGGTGGGGGGTATATGATGACAATGGGGTATAAGATGACAATGGGGTATATGATGACAGACAATGAGCTATTCTGTACACCACATCTCATCTCCATGGTTCTAGATGTGTTTGTGTGTGTGTGTGAGACAGAGAGAGAGAGATAGTGTGTATGTGTGCGCGCGTGCGTGCGTCTCTCGCTATGTGTGTGCGCGTGTGTATGTGTGCGCGCGTGCGTCCGTCTCTCTCGCTCTGTGTGTGTGAGAGAGATATAGTGTGTATGTGTGCGCGCGTGCGTGCGTCTCTCTCGCTCTGTGTGTGTGTGAGAGATATAGTGTGTATGTGTGTGCGCGTGCGTGCGTCTCTCTCTCGCTGTGTGTGTGTGTGTGTGCGTGTGTCTCTCTCTCGCTGTGTGTGTGTGTGTGTGTGTGTTTTTCAGTTTAAACATGTGTGATGAGTATTTTACAACTGCGACTTGTCCCCTGCTACAAGTTCTTCACCCAACCTCACCTCCCACCTAAAGCCGGCATGCCACGATCTGACATACAGTTCACACATTAACTCAGATCATTCACTCACTTCATTGTAATTAGATGAATACCAATTTTGCCCAGTTTATCATTATGCAAACTTCTCAGAACGATAATAATGGGGTATTTAATGACAGTTGATCCCAAATCCATCCATCCAATTTTCTGGCATTTTCAACACACAGCTACCCAAACATGAAAATGACTCGCTCGCACGCACGCACGCACGCACGCACGCACGCACACACGCACGCACGCACGCACGCACGCACGCACGCACGCACACACACACACACACACACACACGCACACGCACGCACGCACGCACGCACATACACACCGCTGACACTGAGCCAGTCGTTGTTATTTATGCTATGCTGTAGTTGAGGTGTATCACATTCCGTCAGGTAATGACACCGGTAATCAGACAACTCAGTAATGTTATCAGACCGCAGTAACTGGGTACACTCGAGAGCAAGGCTCACACATACTTAATACAATGAAATGTTTCGTAGCTTTTATTTGCATAAACGGGGAACGTGCATGGGAAAATGACGGTAGCATAAACATACCCAGCTGAAAAAAATGGATTCGCCACTTGTGTTCGTCATTTTCATGAAACAATGTTAATATATGCAACGTTTCAGGGCTTGATCTGGCCCCATCATCAGGTAAAACTGAACAGTAACTTTCAACAGTGTGTGTGTGTGTGTGTGTGTGTGCGTGCGTGCGTGTGTGCGTGCGTGCGCGCGCGTGCGAGTCATTTTCATGTTTGGGTAGCTGTGTTGTTGAAAGTAACTGAACAGTTTTACCTGATGATGGGGCCAGAACAAGCCCTGAAACGTTGTACTCAAGAATAAAAAGATGTAACCCAGAAAAATCTCTATGTTCATCAATGTTACTATAGTTGCTTTGGTTATGGTGTGGTCTCACTGTCATTGTTGTGACGAGTTTACTATTCCTGCTACTCCGGCGGTATGTATGGACCAGGCAAACCTGTGACTTACACCATGAACATCGATCTACGCAGCTGGAATACGATGGCATGGATGTCTGCGAGTCTGACCACCCAGTCCTCTCAGTGGCCTTTAGCAATAAACATGGGGTGCTGTTTATATCATGAGTAGCTAGTGAGTATGGTTTGTATGCAACTTTTAACGATATAACAGCAATATCATGGGTACGTACACTAGAAATAAACATAACGAATTCTACTCATTTGGGGAATCGACCCGGGTCTTCGGCGTGACTCTTTAACCACCCCACATACAATTTCAACATACAAATATTATTCATCTACAAAAGACAATTCATTTTCGTGTTATATTGCATTCGGATGAAATATTGTACATACCGGTGAAAATTCAATATCTTGAACAAGAGTGTTGACATTACATGTTATCTAACTGAGTAAAATATTTTTCCTGGGACTACCTTTCCTGACAACTGACCTATTTTCCGACCTATTGAACTTGATAAAAAAAAGACTTGCTACGTAATAACTGGTTATTATCTGACCTGTTTCACCTTGCTGTATTTGTGTATGCTACGTAATAACTGGTTATTATCTGACGTGTTTCACCTTACTGTGTGTATGCTATAATAACTGGTTATTATGCTACGTAATAACTGGTTATTATCTGACGTGTTTCATCTTACTGTATTTGTGTATGGTATAAGGTATTGGTCCAACAATCTAGTTTCGGCTGGTCTCTCTATTGGAACGCTCTCCGCCGTACGCATTCAAATGGATATTGCTACGATCACGACGAGATTAGTATAAAAAGTAAACTCACACAAAACAGCATGTTTGTATACTCTTACGATTTAGAATGTTCAATGATGGCTATAAACTACACTGTTTAAATAAGTTTTCGGCCACTTAAGAACGACGTCACTCGATGAAAGAAACAGAGTGGTTGATAATATTATTTATTATCCTCTATCTATTGGTTTAAGAGCAAATAATCGAATTCAGCCGTTCAAATTTAATTTAAATTTAAAACTGCCGTGTAGCTGCTGGCCTTTACAAAAGCTATGGCGAGACACCGGGTGAGACGAGCAGCTGTTTGAAAGGGATTACATTTGATGGATGCTTTTAAGGGGCCCAAATTCACCTCAAACTTCCAGTTACAGGTTTGTCTAGACAAACAGGTTGGTAGAAGGCGGGTCCAACTGTGAATTCAAGTGAATTAAAACAATGTTTAGTTATAAATAAATTCGTACTTATGATTAGAAAAAATACTTGGGACTGAGTATGGGCGTAAGTTAAATATCCTCTTCTTCATACCATCCCGCAAAACTGGTGATAACTTTATCTATTCGGTCCAGTGACGTGCTCACCAATCGACCCCACATTTGTATGTGTACATATCTCTTGAATTTGAGATGAATAAATAGTTCGACAGGGCAGATATCTGCGGTGCTATTCAATATAGGAATGCTCTTTAAGAGATGATCGCAACAGTTTTGTAATGGAAGATATTTAGGTGTATGTAATGCAGATCGGTGAGTCAGGGGTTTTAAATCCCAATATCATGTTTCTGAAACAGCTGTCTTGAAGCTCGCGCCGCAACATCGGAAAATATTATTTACACACGGCTTGTGAAGGATTTCTCTAAATGTCGACTTGGGGATGTGAATGAAGTGAAGCTAAATACAGTGATATAACATATGGTTGTGAAATATTTCACATTGACATTAGGGTTGAATGGTTGTGAAAGATTTCATATTGAGATTAGGGTTGAACGAAACTAATTACAGAAATATAACACATGGTTGTGAAAGATTTCACGTTGACATTAGATTGAATCATGTGAAACTAAGTACTGTAATATAACACGTGGTTGTGAAAGATTTCACGTTGACATTAGACTGAATCATGTGAAACTAAGTACTGTAATATAACACGTGGTTGTGAAAGATTTCACGTTGACATTAGATTGAATAATGTGAAACTAAGTACTGTAATATAACACGTGGTTGTGAAAGATTTCACGTTGACATTAGACTGAATGATGTGAAACTAATTACTGTAATATAATACATGCTCTGTGTTCCAAACATGACGCTGGAGTGAGTGTGTGAGTTACCATCAAATGTCACACAGTAGTGTATCTCATCCATACGGCGATCGCGAACATGATTTATACATTACATTTAACACAATAAAAAGGTGGAATTTAAAATAATATATAATAATTCATTATGGATTTATCTACTGCTCCATGTACAGTTTATGTTTCACGACATTGAAACCTAAAACACGATGGGAAATATATTTTTTCTAAATATTTAAAACCAAAGCAAATAGCATGATATTTAGCAAATAGCAAATATTTACCGTTAAGCAATAACCACTCACTCACTCTTTTAAGAATGCGTCGACTTGGATCGATTAAGTTATAGACGAAGACAAATATATTACCTGTGATTTCTGTAGAACGATATATATTCCATAAATCTGGCCGATATCGTACATCTGAGACTGTCGGTGTGCTGTTCATATATCTCATAACCCTTTAACATTCTGATTAATTTCATTATACTCGGAGCGAAATATGTACGTCTCTGTTAATGTTTTATTTTGAGTATGTTGCCAGAATTATAATTTAGAATTATAGAAGTAATAGAGTTGTACTTGTTGCAGGTGATGTTAATTCTAGTCTTTGTGTATTTATTCGTGTATCTTTGCCACTATTTTCGTTTACACAGATTCTCTTCTGTAGTGTTTCGTGTAGTGTGTAAACATCCACGTTTTGCGTATATGTAGAATAATAGTTACCACCAAGTGTTTATAGAAATGCTGATGATGACAGTCGGTTTACTTCTTCGGCAGCTGGGACCCGAGACTTCCAGGAGACCTCTGACCCCTACAAGAGTGCCTTTCCTTACTGTGTATGCGTGTATGGTACATATGCTACTGAATATCATGCAGGGATCTACGTTTTTGATTTTGTAATTTGTCTTTCCTTTAAGTTGTCTAAAGATACCTACATTTGAACTGAATCCTAACGAAGGAGGACAAACAGGTTGATAGACTGTGGTGAAGTATTGCTGTTATCAATATTGTTTGTATTATTATTTGATAATAAATATTGCCTTTCAACATCAAATCATCAAAAAATAAACTGTCTGTCTACATCCATGCTTGATGGTAGTTAAGACGAAACAAACAAAAAATGATCACTGGTTGGTGATGAATTTGGTAGTGGAATCATGGACGATATCCCAGGCATCATATCAATGTGTATCTCACATGATGTCCACTTAAAGTCGCAAGCCACATGGGGGTCGCAAATGTTTTCAAGCAATTGTTTTCAAGCGAACATTGCTTGTATTTTAATAATTATTATTACCAACAGAATATGACATATTCTGTTTGTAAATAATAATATATATATATATATATATATATATATATATATATGTATGTGTGTGTGTGTGTGTGTGTGTGTGTGTGTGTGTGTGTGTGTGTGTGTGTTTTAAAAAAACCTCATTTGGACTTTGTACTTGGTCTCGTCGCTATATGGCTGGAATAATGCCGATGTGACGTAAAACTTAACTATCATTTCAATTTACATTGACACCAAGTACATGGTGGGGTGGGTTGTTTGTCTACTCTCACCAAGCCCTGACTTATGTCTGTACTGATAACCCGATTGGGGTGAAACAATTACTCGCCAGCACAGAATGCGTCGATTTTACATACATCATGTCACCAGCTACAGACCCGGGTGTACCAGTCGCAGTTCGACGTGCTGAATGTCTTCTCTATGTCATGCCAGATATTTGTAATAGTGGGTTCGACTCCCAGATTCAACTTGATTTATGTTTTAGTTAAAGTTAGTATAATACCAGGTTTTCTTAAGTTTCGTTAAAATTGAAAACAAGAGCTGAGACCTGCACTGTGACTGAACAAAACTGAAATTCACTCACTCAGTTATTAGTACTGACAAGACACCATATTATCAACATATATATATATATGGAAGATAGAAGTACTAATAGAACTATTTAGTTATATCAGGGTAGTTAATATATTGTACAGAAGCTTTGAAATATTCGTCTTAAGGGTTTGAATCAATTGTTTTTGCGAAGGACAAATAGTATCTATTAATGTTTCATCAAACTGGGTTTGAACGCATCCCCTCCATCAACCACATTCTCAGCAACGTTTCCCTCATCTGAAGTGAAGTCAACGACATCTGTAACTACAATCAACGAGTAATCTGAAAACCGTCAGTAAACAGAGAAGGTCAGGGGCCGCGGGTAACAATATGGAAACTGCTACATCATAAATATGTACCACATTAATCGGATACTTTGTGATAGAGGACCTCTCTCCATGATATTTACCCGGAAGAAAGAAAACGGGTCAATGTCCAAAAAGCAGCTTCATCCGATACAACATATCACAGAACAACATGAAAATTGATTTACCTGAGCAGGGTTTGATTCACCTGTAGAGCGCAATGTCCGATTTCGTCCTGCGTATTCCTTGTGTTTACGCCTACACCCTGTGTTCTAGTTGCACGAACAATGTGACTGTGTCGTTTTAATCAGATCAAATATATCAGCATTCATTTCTCACCTGGCAACGTCATGTGACAGCACTGCTCACTTTATCTCAAGATAAACATTGCAACATGCCGGGCACGTACCTAGAGTTATCTCCCCTTATCAGCCATACTCGGGCTCTGACTGCCGTCAACCGATGTGATTCATACCCACACACAGTATTACACATTGGACTATGTTCATTCAGTATTGCTGCTGCTTTATCGCTGATTCAGCAACGACCGGAAACAAGGCTTTCCCACGCTTTTGTTAAAACAGACGTATCACGTACTAAGTAATTGCTTGTCGAGAGCATCAAGCCCTACGTACTTCACAATACGCTGATCCGTGTTAGTGAGTTCCACGTTTCATTAACTGAACATCTTCATCAACAATGACGGCATGGTTATGTCATAGAAAGATAATCTCGTTGGTCATAATCAGACATTTTCGTCATTCAGACCTGGTGGAAACAGACACGTTCAGGGTTTTGGGTCTGTTTTCAGCTGGATGATAGTTCATCCTCCCACCATCCATCCATCCCTACCCCCTTCCCTACCCACCTCCACCCCTACCCCGCTATCCCCTATCTTTTAATCCAGCGTTCAGCCACTTCACCGCAGACACGGTCACATTGGCGCAGTGAGGGGCAAATGAATTATACAATTTTAAAACACAAAAAAAACTCCAGCTAAATGTTATTTATCATTGTTTCCGGCAAGAAGATGTGAAAAGAAATCTGTAGATGGGTAGTTTTGGGTACAAAATGTTTGGTTCAATAAAGACAGGGGTAAGAATACTGGGAGGTTTTCTTATTACAAGTGAAATATTTTTACAGTTGTCAGGGCTGATTAAGTCCTTTGTGAAGCGTCCTCAAGTGTTCTTCCAACAGTATATCATTGATGATATGTCACGTGGTACATGTCAAACACGTTCATCACTTCAACAGGTCATCACAGTCGTGAGGCTGACACTACTAGAATACTAGCAGTCATTAGAATCTGGGATTCGAACCCTGATAAGTGGATCCTTCAGCATTCCACGCCCGGGGGGGGCACCAGAAAAGTGTTCATCACACTGTATCCACGCGCATAATGGGAGAGAGACCCCAACCACTACTGTATTCGCCAGGCTGCCTCGTCCACTGGGAGTGAGTGAGTATGGTTTTACGCCGCTTTTAGCAATATTCCAGCAATATTACGGCGGGGGACACCAGAAATGGGCTTCACACATTGTAGCCATATGGGGAATCGAACCCGGGCCTTCAGCGTGACGAGCAAACGCTTTAACCACTAGGCTACCCCGTTGCCCCTCGTCCACTGGGAGCATGTACAGGTATGGTGTGTACACTGAGGAGTAATTTGAATCTGTCCTGTTGCAACGTTATATTTTTCAAAGAAAAAATAATCCAAGTATGGCCCGCAGGATATGGTTGTAACAGTGAAGGTTCGATAACAGTTGTCACAATTAATGCTACATTCACTATGGAGGCCATAGGTCCACAGATAACATGCACGGTAGTGGCAATACACGTATCGTATCGTAGTGGCAATAATCGTAATGGTGAAAAACGTTTAACCCATTAATACTTTCTTATTTCATACAGATGGTGAACAGGTATATTTGATTATATAACGCACTGCTTATAAAACTGATTATTAAAGCGTATTGCTATGCTCTGGACATGTCATTAATCAAGCTGTCAATACTGTATTGTTCACACTGTGATCGGAGGCGCTGGGGTATTTTACGGGTGCTTTAAATGAAACTATGGTGTATATTTGTATAAGTGGCCTCCTTTCAGATTATCAATATGTAAATCAGTACGTGCACTCTACCTCCCACAGGTATATTTTGTTCAGCGGTGGCCGATAGGGTTAGGCGTCTGACTTTGTGTACTGGCGATCAGGTCCCTGACTCTGAGGATGTGGGTTCGAATCCCAGATGGGACTCAACCCAACAAAAATACTAGAATCTGTACTTTACTAAGAAACTATAATCCCAAATATAACATGTGTTATAAAATCAAAATGACGTACTGTTTCTATTATCTGGTGAAGAACAGGATACAACCAAAAACAATAACAGCTGGCAATATCAGTTCTGTACATTGGTGAAGTTCAGAAGCACTTGGAATCTGCGGAGAGTGACGAGTCTGACTGCAGCTGCTTCTTCCTGGCCCCGAACAAAACAACTTGTCAGTCATCACCACATGCACACGTGAAATAGTCACGTTGATGAAAGTTACAAGCGGACTCTACATACGTGTCAACCAATGAACACTGTCTACATAAAGCCAGTGAGGAATTGCTGTGTTCAACACCATTTGTTACACTTTCGCTAGTAACGGTGGAGCCACTAAGTCAAACATCGATGTCACACCGCAATTAAAGATTAACAGATTAAAAATACAACACATACAAATGCAACCGAAATATCTGCTAAAGGGAGATTCGATCGCAATGTTCCATCCACATAATGGGTATAACTGTGAAGCTACGCCAGGTGTTCGTGAAGAACTGGGATTATGGGCACCCATTTGGAGTGCCTGCAACGTCAAAGCAATTGTTCACTTCTTTAAGTGGCGTTTTAGAAGTTGAGAACTACAATAATAACAATGTTTAATGGATAACAACTTCTTGTATTTATGAACAAGAATCTGTATAGAAATGTCGCTCTCACGAAAGAACGGAAGTTGTTATCCTGAAAAATTGGTATTATTGACATCAATTGTTAACCTGGAAAACACACTGGAAGAATAAAGTGTAAATATTTAGTACCTTTTTATCACACGACAAACGTAGCAGTTTATGTAAAAAAAATTTAATCAGAATTCTGAAAACTCTTGTATTCTAGGTATATCAGCAATGTCATCATCAACTACATAGCCGTGAAGTCGCCACCGATCAATGTTTTAGTCCTCATTTGAATTAAGTCTAATAAGATGCACAAAAATACAAAACAAATTCACATTTTTGTCTTATTTCCAAAACACGTTGACCCCGTAAAGTATTTACATAAAACATTACAAACAACTCGATTTTCACAAGAAATCTTCAACTTAAAACAGAGTCGATTGTTCAGTTCAAGCGAAATCATGTTCATATGTTTATAAAACTAACAAATAGGGATGGCTTCAGCTGTTCGTGAGAAGAGTGTCATACGTTATCAGTACACCGTTCACTTGTCCAAGAATTAGTTCCATATTTGCGATTTGTTCTTAAGTGAGTGAATTAGAATTTACCGTTGCATCAGTATTTGTTCAGCCAGATAGCAACGGTTTGTTCCTAAAGCGGCATTTGTCATATATGGCATATGGCGTCTATCTCAATGAATACTACACTATAAACTACTCTTTAATGACATGATGTAATCTGTAATCCTGTGCTGACGAATCTTCCCGCAGTGTCGTGAACAAAGGTGCACTGTATGATACAAGCGGGGAAACACGTATTTTATTACTTGACACTGAACCTGCAATCACGCCATGAATTATGACAGATGAGGTGTGGATGTTTTTTGATGATGCGTAAGTTTATTGTGTTGTGGTGTGGTGTTGTAGTGTTATGACATACTGTCTGTGTTTTGAAGACGGACACATTCATGAATGTCCTCAAAGCCTATTTCTATTGAGTAGGTTTACCTTTATAATTATCATTTCGTTAAGCATACCTAAATAACACAAAACATTTTGGGAATATCAGACCTTGGTTATCCCCACACTGCTGACCAGATCTTTGGTAGGTCAACTTATGGCTATCAACGGGTCGGAGGGTTTAAGCATCATCTGGTTGAGGTCATAAACTCGAATGGTGTTCATTGCTGACGTCATCAACCACTGATTTGCCTACACCAGACTCGAAGATTTGCATCATGGAGATACACATGAAATGTTGCTGTCTGGGTTGTATGGCTGAACACGTGTCTTGTCATTTAGGGCTCGTCACCCCTAGACCGGTTTCCAGGTTCAAACCCATGTATGGTGGCCCACATGATAAGACTGAAGTATTTCTAAAAGCGGAATAAACTCTTTCTCACAGATTCACTCTGGGAGTTTTACTACAGCTTCACGCTGGTCTTCATCCTGGTATTCATGCTTCAAATCCCCGTTGTCGGCTTGTGAAAATATTTGTACGAAATGAAAACACTGGACAAACTAGACCTTGCAGTTTAGCTCCCTACCTGCCCTGATACACGTCGTACATCGCCGCTTTATCACCAGACGTGTACGGTCTACCGGAAACACTGCTCCCCGTGAGTGGGACATACAAGGAAATATCTGTCACCATGTTCATTCTGTATAAGTTCCTCAGCTGATGCTCAAGCCATGTTGTGGTATGTGTATAGCTATCTTGGTGGAAAAGGTTATTCCGGGGTCCGGATAACAAAATAATACTTTTGGGTTTGTCAACATGGCCAATACAAGTGTATCTGGCAGGTCTAAACGAAACAACCAGGGAGTTCAATCTTGCCTTGCCACCTGTAACAACTGACCAGCTGCCGGAGTCTTGAGTAAAGGTGAATGTCAACAACTTGACTTCCAGCAGTCATGGTGTGAAGTGGCCATGCTTATGTAGCACGGGTTACCCACGAACCAGCTGTCTGGAGCACTGGGAACAGGCTGGAACACGAAATAAGTAGGGTGTTATGTCACATCAAGTATGGCAGGCAGTCAATACTGAGTCAGTTATGATTACAGAGCACATGTCGATCGCCATACCCAATGCATTCATGCAAGATTTGACAAACCGGAAAACATTTGTGATTAATAATAACAAACATGTGGTATACATTCTTGCATGTATTCTGTAATGACAGCATAATACATTGTCGATGTCAGAAATGTTTAACTATGTGCCTGTGTCGCAAACGTGATTAATACAATCAGTTGGTGTGAGACATCAACGAGCATTCATTCCACCTTCTAGCAGAATATTTCCATCTGAAATGTCATCTGATCTTTGGTCTCTGAACCACAATTTATCTTTTTTACCCACCGCTTCAGTATCCCAGCAGCTAAAACCCTCGGTGTCTACATTTGACTGTTGAGGGCTAGCATGTTCTTTCCACGAAGATTTCAAAAGCGCCTGATTTCAATCTGAAAAGGCCTAGGTAAATTTTCAAAACATATTATTTTAAACACGCGGAGGACATTTCCAGAATTCGCATCAATGATAAATAGCTTGATATCCGACGCAAACCCCTATTTTTCCTTGCTACATCTGTTTTTTTCAGTTGAACCTTGCTGTCATCTGTTCACCGGGTTCTCCACGAAAAGAAGAATTCATTTCACTACACAATGAGCAGGAGTTTCTGTATCACTAGGACATGTGCTTGTGACAAATATCAGATATTTCTTAGCAATATCGAGTTATCAAGTGAAAGTGTTTTACCGAGAAATGGTTGAGACAGCAGCATCAGTACGAGAGATTCAGTGTATACGTCACCATCTGGTGAAAGTGGTAAACATCGATTACCGATTTAGAAACAACACTCGACCCGTTACGAATTTCATACGATGGACGTCCATTGATTATTACCTGTTTATAAGGAGAATTAACCGGCCTCTCTTCCAGAAGGGTTCCAAGGTCCACGAAACGGCACCAGTTCCTGACAATCGCTAGAGTATGCAGGAGGTATCTTGTATTTTTCAGATGTTGTACTCTGATCATTTGTGATACCTATCTAAACGTTGTAGACGAAGATGATATATTCCATGAAGGTGTCTGCTATAAAAGTATATAATATCCACTCACTCACTCCAATTCTTGCAGCACATGGCGAACCTGCTGCTTCTCCTGCTTGTGATCCCCTCCAGCTACAGTCAGTGTAAGTATAATACTGTCCTGCTACAGTCAGTGTAAGTATAATACTGTCCTGCTACAATCAGTGTAAGCATAAGGCTGTCCAGCTACAGTCAGTGTAAGTATAATACTGTCCTGCTACAGTCAATGTAAGTATAATACTGTCCTGCTACAGTCAGTGTAAGTATAAGGCTGTCCAGCTACAGTCAGAGTAAGTATAATACTGTCCTGCTAAAGACATTGTAAGCATATTTATGTCCTGCTAAAGCCATTGTAAGTATATTTATATCCTGCTAAAGCCATTGTAAGTATATTTATATCCTGCTTAAGCCATTGTAAGTATATTTATATCCTGCTAAAGCAAATGTAAGTATATTTTTGTCCTGCTAAAGCCATTGTAAGTATATATATATCCTGCTAAAGCAAATGTAAGTATATTTATGTCCTGCTAAAGACATTGTATATTTATATCCTGCTAAAGCCATTATAAGTATATTTATGTCCTGCTAAAGCCAATGTAAGTACATTTGTATCCTGCTAAAGATATTGTAAGTATATTTATGTCCTGCTAAAGACATTGTAAGTATATTTATATCCTGCTAAAGCCATTGTAAGTATATTTATGTCCTGCTAAAGCCAATGTAAGTATACATATATCCTGCTAAAGCCAATGTAAGTATATTTATGTCCTGCTAAAGACATTGTAAGTATATTTATATCCTGCTAAAGTCATTGTAAGTATATTTATATCCTGCTAAAGCCAATGTAAGTATATTTGTATCCTGCTAAAGACATTGTAAGTATATTTATATCCTGCTAAAGACATTGTAAGTATATTTATATCCTGCTAAAGCTTCCTGCTAAAGACATTGTAAGTATATTTATGTCCTGCTAAAGACAATGTAAGTATATTTATGTCCTGCTAAAGCCATTGTACGTATATTTATATCCTGCTAAAGCCTCCTGCTAAAGACATTGTAAGTATATTTATGTCCTGCTAAAGCCAATGTAAGTATATTTATATCCTGCTAAAGCCTCCTGCTAAAGACAATGTAAGTATATTTATATCCTGCTAAAGCCATTGTAAGTATAGTTATGTCCTGCTAAAGCCATTGTAAGTATATTTATGTCCTGCTAAAGTCAATGTAAGTATATTTATATCCTGCTAAAGCCTCCTGCTAGAGACAATGCAAGTATATTTATATCCTGCTAAAGCCATTGTAAGTATATTTATGTCCTGCTAAAGCCATTGTAAGTATATCTATGTCCTGCTAAAGCCAATGTAAGTATATTTATGTCCTGCTAAAGCCATTGTAAGTATATTTATGTCCTGCTAAAGCCATTGTAAGAATAGTTATGTCCTGCTAAAGACATTGTAAGTATATTTATGTCCTGCTAAAGACATTGTAAGTATATTTATATCCTGCTAAAGCCATTGTAAGTATAGTTATGTCCTGCTAAAGCCATTGTAAGTATATTTATGTCCTGCTAAAGCCGATGTAAGTATATTTATATCCTGCTAAAGCCATTGTAAGTATATTTATGTCCTGCTAAAGCCATTGTAAGTATATTTATATCCTGCTAAAGCCACTGTAAGTAGATTTATGTCCTGCTAAAGCCATTGTAAGTATATCTATGTCCTGCTAAAGCCATTGTAAGTATATTTATATCTTGCTAAAGACATTGTAAGTATATTTATATCCTGCTAAAGCAAATGTAAGTATAGTTATGTCCTGCTAAAGACATTGTAAGTATAATTATGTCCTGCTAAAGCCATTGAAAGTATAGCTATGTCCTGCTAAAGCCATTGTAAGTATATCTATGTCCTGCTAAAGCCATTGTAAGTATATTTATGTCCTGCTAAAGACAATGTAAGTATATTTATGTCCTGTTAAAGACATTGTAAGTATATTTATGTCCTGCTAAAGACAATGTAAGTATATTTATGTCCTGCTAAAGACAGTGTAAGTATATTTATATCCTACTAAACCCATTGTAAGTATATTTATGTCCTGCTAAAGACATTGTAAGTATATTTATGTCCTGCTAAAGACAATGTAGGTATATCTATGTCCTGCTAAAGACATTGTAAGTATATTTATGTCCTGATAAAGACAATGTAAGTATATTTATGTCCTGCTAAAGACATTGTAAGTATATTTATGTCCTGCTAAAGACATTGTAAGTATATTTATGTCCTGCTAAAGACAATGTAAGTATATTTATGTCCTGCTAAAGACATTGTAAGTATATTTATGTCCTGCTAAATACATTGTAAGTATATTTATGTCCTGCTTAAGCCAATGTAAGTATATTTATGTCCCGTTAAGGCCTCCTGCTGCATACGTATGTATCCGTATATTTCTTTATTGTGAATCGTGAAGAGCGCATTAACACCATTCAGATAACGTTTTCGGAACAATCCAAACGACTTTTCTAAAGGATTTTAATGTATGTATTTCAGTGGGAGATCCATGTAAAAACTTCATAGAGCTTGGCAACATAGCAACACGAGCCCCTACTTACCCGGGAAGCCCCGTACTACATGACGACAGCACACTGGCACCCGGCTGGTATGGGGGACCTGCTGGATGGGAACTCAGTCAGGATCCTGGCAACACGACCAAGTGTGGAACAGAAAGCCTATTTATAGAACCAGTAAGATGTATTCCAGTAAACTGTTAAACTGTCGGATATCTATGAATATGTTGGGTTTTAGTCTTTATTTTTAATCAGTTTAGACCCTGAATCTTGTTGGGGCCATTTTTTATACCAATAGTAGCAGGTGGGTTGAGATCCAGATTAAGATTTGTCTTAGCAACACATTCTTGTCATGATTAAGATTTGTCTCGCTGACTATGACATGCTTGTCATGAGAGACAAGTAACAGTTTGTGTGGTCGGGCTCGCTGACTATGACATGCTTGTCATGAGAGACAAGTAACAGTTTGTGTGGTCGGGCTCGCTGACTATGACATGCTTGTCATGAGAGACAAGTAACAGTTTGTGTGGTCGGACTCGCTGACTATGACATGCTTGTCATGAGAGACAAGTAACAGTTTGTGTGGTCGGGCTCGCTGACTATGACATGCTTGTCATGAGAGACAAGTAACAGTTTGTGTGGTCGGGCTCGCTGACTATGATGGATGTAATCCATATTGCGCATGTCGATGCTCTTTATCTCAGTCAGTAGATTGGCCAAGATTTGATGATTTACAGTCCGGCGTAATATAGTTCCAATATTGATGTGTTCGGCTTTATTCTTTGGCTTGGAGTTATTGAACGTTTAGTGTTTAACAGTGATGCAGTAGGGTAGGGGGATATGTGGAGTTGCAACGAAAATAAAATGAACCTCTTAAATATAAGTCACTGATGGTTACAAATATACCATTAGATTCATATGTACTTAACACAGTAGTAACCCGAACTTTCGTTTCGTACATATTCTTGTTTCTAGCACCATGAAATGTGATCGGGTTTCATATACGGCGCTGTTCTGTGATGATTACTGACATGCGATGGGCACGGTTAAGTTGCTTGGTTGATTTGTTCAGACCGACCCTCATATATTTCGATTGTTTCAGGATTTAAACAAGCTAGGCCACGTTTCACAGAACCCTTGAACCATGTTAGTATTCGTGATTTGCAGTAGTACATTCTAAATCGACTGGATTATTAAGCAGAATTGAGCCAAACGGTCAAATTGTTCTGGTGTTTCCATGTGTCGGACATTGACATTTAGAACATTCTGTGATCAAAAATCCATTTTGCAATAATCAAATGGTGCATGGAACTTGTCAGTTCCCGCCAAACAAGGATATGATACAAATTTCTTGAAAAGAGCGTAACTGTTCTACCAGTTATTACCAGTGGTGAGGATCCAGGGTCAGGGTAAGCCTTGATCATGGTCAGTGTCAGGGTAAGATCTGGGTCAGGGTCAGTGTCAGGGTAAGATCTGGGTCAGGGTCAGTGTCAGGTTCATGATCAGTGATAGGGTTGCACACGTCAAGGTGTGGGTCACGGTATTGCTTAGGTCAAGGTCTGGGTCAGGGTAAAGCCCCAGGTCCTCCTCTTTGACAGGGTAGGGCCGGGGTTACGGTCAATGTCAGGGCAAGGCTAAGGTCAAGGTCACAGTCAGGTAAATCCAGGTCAAGGTCACGGTCATAGTAACGCCAAGGTCAACGTTACGGTCAGGGTAAGGCTCAGGTCAAAACCTGAGTCATGGTAAGGCCCGGTAAGGGTCAGTGTCAGGGCAAGGCCCAGATCAAGGTCAAGGTCAGGGTAAGGCCCGGGTGAAGGTCACGGTCATAGTAAGTGGTCAGTGTTAAAGTGTGTGTGTCTGTCTGTCTGTCTGTGTAACGTTTCTTGGTTAAGCTGATAGAGTTTGTGTGTATTAGGTTCTTAAACTGTCTTGGGTTTCTTCAAGGTAAATCCCGTGATACTTCCACAGTGTGTACAAGGTTCCCACGCAACCCCTGCTACAGACCCTACACCATCCGAACTACGACGTGTGGCGGCAGAGAGATATACGAACTCTCTACACAGATCAGTTTAGCAGGATTCTGCTTTTGTAAGTTGATTTCTTAGGTAACTTTCCCCATTACAACAATGTGTTTTATCCATTGTCACCATTGTTTAATCGCTCACAGTGGTTCCGTTAATCCCATAGCATATTTTATCTCAACTGCACAACCCGTCTAGCTGTGGATAAATGAGCTAGAACCTTATTGAAACGTGGTGTTGTATAAATTAGAAAGTCGAAATCAGAGCCAGAGTAAAATGTCGTCCCACGTGATATCGATGGAATATTGCCTATACAAACACTCACTGCATTACTCACTATTTAGTTCAGTTTTGCTGATTTATTGCAGACACGGATGACCCATGTCTGTCGAATCCTTGTGCAAATGGAGCCACTTGTATTAAGATGACCGGAAGCAACCACATCTGCTCCTGTGCCCGCGGATACTACGGAGAGAGCTGTGAAGGTAAGCAACTTGTAAAGGCTTAGTCCTACATCGCAAGGCTGTGTAAGGAGAGCAGGTGAAAACTGTGGCTTCAGTCTGGGATATGGCAACGTCACACGTAACGCTATCTCATCAAAATTTGTTTATTTCAGGTAACCTTTAAACTCATGTTCAGCGTTGTTGCATTGTTCCCGTTATACAATGTATGTAAAAATACATGAATTACTACAAAAACCTTAGTTGGCTACATGTCTATAGTTTGTCTCCTGCTGTTCTGATGAAGGTTAACCATTATCCATTTGATTAGTGATGACTTTACAACCAGGTAAGCGCACACAGAACACGCACCTCCGACACATGTCCCAGCCAGCAAGTCTCAGAGCCTGTCCAGTACTTGACAACAGAGGTGTATCTGCGAGAACAGTTCGACGACGTCTATACGTCTGCGGCATCCGTGCAAGGCGCCCATCACGACAGCTACTCCTGACGCCAGAACATCGACGTCGACTTATTCAGTGGAGCAGACCACACGTTGCTCGATGTTGTACAATCGTATTTTAATCAGAAAAAAAAGGTTAATGTGTTACCCCAGCAAGCAAGATCCCCTCATTTCCCAATCATTGGACATTTCAAAACACGATGAAATGGAGAGATGTTTACGACGTCACTCGAATCCTCCCACAAAGCAATAGCAACTCCGCCACATCCTTCCTCGGATATGGAATCATCTTCACCAGGACTCTCATCGACGTTTAGTGGCCTCAGTGGGGCAAGAGTGTCAGATCTGTTTCATTGTACAAGGTGGACACACCACCAAAGGAACGTGTAAAGCTGCTTGTGAACCCCACATTGTGCTGTGGCTGATTTCAATATGCCATGTGCACAGTTATCATGGACTGTCAATCGTTACCGCAACATTTATCTCTCAGTGTTATGACATAAGCAATAAAAGTTAATTGATTCTTTTGCTGTTTATGTGTCACAATAACGTTTGCCTTTTAGTATAGGAGATGATCATTCATGCTGTTTACAGAAATAAACTGAAATAATTGTTTTGATTTTCTTCTTCTCGTTGTTATGTAAGTACGCCTTTTCAATTATAGTTGTACGTTGACATCACTGTATGTTTATCTCCTGTCAACTGAAAGTACACTCTTGTACACACACCCAGCAATATTCCAGTTATGTGAGGTCGGTATGTCAATATTTTGCCTAGATCAGGCAACCCATTAACTCAACGTCGATGGCTGGGACACGCTGACAAGCACCAACAAAGTCAGCGACGCTGACCACCCGATCCCGTACAACCATGGGTTACAGAAGATCAACTGCAACCTGCATTCATACTGACATAGTGAAAATACATTTATTGCCTTTTACCTGTTTCCAATTATAGAAACAAAAATTTCATTTCCTCTGTCACCAGAAAATCAGTACCTCTTTTCAAGTTTTACTAATGATGTGTATTTGTGAAACAATGCTGTTATCGCTTTTATTTCAGAGAAAGATCGGTGTGGGAACTTTACAGATTGATTGTATGTGTGTGCAACCTTCGTTTCAGAGAAGGATCCATGTGGAAACTTTACAGAACTTGAAAACATACCTACCCGAGCCCCTAGTTACCCAGGATATCCCGTTCTACATGACGACAGCACACTGGCACCTGGCTGGTATGGGGCACCTGCTGGATGGGAATTACTCAGTCGGGATCCTGGCAACTCCACCAAGTGTGGAACAAGAAAACCCATTTACAGAACGAGTAAGACGTCTTCCTAAACGTATCTATATTGATAAACATACTTTTAAATGCTTCCTTTACTTTTGATGAATCTCTCCATCAACAAGTATCAAATTTCATCAGTTTAATCCTAATTTCAATTTAAGTGACGTTTCTCATATGTCGTCACAAACATCAATGTGACAATTCAAATAATGTTTCTTAATATCCTAGCGTTTCTTCTGAACATGTGGTAAGTTCATTGTTATATCAACCCTGATTCAAAATATTTTACTTTTAAAGAATGAGTCTTATTTGTCAATATTAAAAAGTGACTGTTTCACTTTTAGACACAAGAGATATACGGCCACGCTCCTTATTGGAGATTTCCCTTAACAAATCTATGCTTGTTTTCTTCAAGGTAAGTCTGGTGACGACGCTTCAACCGTGTGTATTAGGTTCCCAAACGCGGTCTGCTTCAAACCGTACACCATCAGGACGACGATGTGCAGTGGCAGAGAGATATACGAGCTGAATACGGAAACTAGTTTGTCAGGATTCTGCTTTCGTAAGTGCGTTTACGTTCCTAAGATGACTCTTGTCACTGCTCTCTCTATCTATATCTGTGTGTTGATAGTAAAGAATAAAACATATGATCAAGGTGTAAGCAAGAGGAAGCATAGTTAGAAATCATTCAATATGGACATGTTAGCATTAGGTAAATTTTATCCCCATGTTTACACATAAATGCACATGCCCAAAGTATTTACGTTGCTGTACTCTTGGCTAATGGTAAGTTTCCAAAAGCTAGGAATCACACTCCTATAATACGGAATATTCTGAGAAATGCATAAGTAATGTTAGATGAAAACAATGATAGACGTGCTGTGAAGCTAACTGGCCTTTTAAATCTGTATCCACCAAAGGAAAACAATTTTTTGTGCTATTGCAGACACGGATGACCCATGTCTTTCAAATCCTTGCCCGAATGGAGCCACTTGTACTAAGGCAACAGGAACCAATCACATCTGCATCTGTCCCTCTGGATATTATGGGGAGAATTGTGACGGTATGTGAAGAAGTAAAACTATATACTGTACAAATGCCTTCTGTATTAGCAAGAAATCTGCACCCGAAGTAGAGTCGATTGTACAAATCCAACTAGGTCATGAACAATGTGTTCATCGATCACTTTCAGATAGAGATGACATCGTTAATCGGGAAAAGGTGTGCATATCCCGTCCTAACACATGTTACAAACATATGTAACTCGTCCTTCCATCCCTCGTTAGCTCGAAAACAATCTCATCAGACGTTTTTCAGCAGGAACCCTATCATTAAAACTGCTGGTCAGTTACTACATTGTCATTCCATTATGTGTAAAGGTTCAATCCCAACGATGACGTACATATCGCATGTGTGTTTATTTTTCTTTCAGAGAAGGATCCGTGTGAAAACTTTACAGAACTTGAAAACATAGGAACACGAGCCCCTAGTTACCCAGGAAGCCCAGTACTACATGACGACATCACACTGGCACCCGGCTGGTATGGGGCACCTGCTGGATGGGAACTACTCAGTCAGGACCCTGGCAACTCCACCAAGTGTGGAACAAGAAAACCTATTTACAGAAAGAGTAAGATGTAACCCAAAACATTCCTGCATTGTTACACATTGTTTAAAATGTTTGTTTTAACCTTTAAAGAATTCCTCGATCTACAAGTATCCAAATATATCATGCATCAGTTGGTTCCAATTTCTTTTGAATTGGCGATTTTCATATGTTTTCATAAGATTCGATGTGCCACTCCAAATGATATTTCCCTCAATATTAATTCATCTTCGAAGCATATGTTTAATGTTCCTATTAATCCTAAGACAATGCTTCTTATTGAACTTTTCTTTGACTAAATCTATTCTTGGTCTCTTTAAGGTAAGTCTGGTGACGCCTCGACCGTGTGTATTAGATACCCGAATGCGGTGTGTGCCAACCCGTATACCATCAGGACGACTATGTGCGGTGGCAGAGAGATATACGAGCTCAGTACGCAAACCAGTTTGTCAGGATTCTGCTTTCGTGAGTGCTTTTACGTTCCGTATGTAACCTCTAGCGGGTTCCTTACTTGTCTCAATACTATACAATAAGACAGATATGATCCTAGTAGAAACATGATGTTGGAAAGAAATAATTGTTCTAGTGAGGATAACGTCACGGTGGGTCTTTCAACAGTTTGAATTTTGGATTGAAAATCTTCTGAAGTGTGTGTTGATGTCCTCTGGACCAATGTTAGTGAGTGAGTGAATATGGTTTTGCGCTGCTTTTAGCAATATTCCACCAATGTCCCGGTGGGGGGACACCAGAAATAGACTTGACACATTGTATCCATGTGGGGAATCGAACCCGGGTATTCGGCGTGACGTGCCAACGCTTTAACCGCTAGGCTACCCCACCGCCCCTGGATCAATGTTAGGAACACCTAACTTGTTAATCCCACTCTACTAATTCCAACTGAAAATGTCATAAAGTACATGCGTCGTCTTTGCTGACAAAAATATCATTTCCTATCTTCATATAAATGATTTTCCTAAATCTGTAAAAAACCTATCGTGAAATAGCTTCTATGGTGTTGCAGACACGGATGACCCATGTCTGTCGAATCCTTGCGCCAACGGAGCCACTTGCATTAAAGCATCAGGAACCAATCACATCTGTTCCTGTGCCCCTGGATATTATGGAAAGAGCTGTGAAGGTATGTGCATGAGCAAAACACGAGATAATCCAATGAGAAAACTTCAATTTTAAACAGCATTCAATTATACCACAACAAACTTCATATGATATCCATTTGCCCAGTAAGCAGGGCCCTCCTCTGAATTTGAAGATTCATTTCAGAGTTCTATTGATTTGAGCTAAATATTCTGGAACACTTTAACCCTCTAGATGTAGTATTTCAACAAAAGATAGTGTTCTTGCACTGCAAACATACCAAATACACACACACCAACACACAATCAATCAGAAATCAAAATTTAATTTTGGACAGTGGAAAAATATAGTTTGGTACTTTCTTAAAATTACTTAAGAATAATGCTATTGATATCAACAGGTGCTATAGATCATGAAGTAAACCTGAAAACATGAAAACTTGTTTTCAATTATGATATTGCTGTTTCATTCTGAATACATTTTCCATACCAATGTTGATTGATTGTATGTGTGTGCTACTTTGATTTCAGAGAAGGATCCATGTGGAAACTTTACAGAACTTGAAAACATACCTACCCGAGCTCCTAGTTACCCAGGATATCCCGTTCTACATGACGACAGCACACTGGCACCTGGCTGGTATGGGGCACCTGCTGGATGGGAATTACTCAGTCGGGATCCTGGCAACTCCACCAAGTGTGGAACAAGAAAGCCCATTTACAGAACGAGTAAGACGTCTTCCTAAACGTATCTGTATTGATAAACATAATTTTAAATGCTTCTTTTTACTTTTAATGAATCTCTTCATCAACAAGTATTAAATTACATCAGTTTAATCCCAATTACAATTTAAGTGACGTTTCTCATATGTCGTCACAAACATCAATGTGACCATTCTAATAATGCTTCTTAATATCCTAGTGTTTCTTCTTAACATGTGGTAAGTTCATTGTTATATCAACCCTGATTCAAAATATTTTACTTTTAAAGAATGAGTCTTATTTGTCAATATTAGAAAGTGACTGTTTCACTTTTAGACACAGGAGATATACGGCCATGCTCCTTATTGGAGATTTCCCTTAACAAATCTATGCTTGTTTTCTTCAAGGTAAGTCTGGTGACGCTTCAACCGTGTGTATTAGGTTCCCAAACGCGGTCTGCTACAAACCCTACACCATCAGGACGACGATGTGCAGTGGCAGAGAGATATACGAGCTGAATACGGAAACTAGTTTGTCAGGATTCTGCTTTCGTAAGTGCGTTTAAGTTCCTAACATAGTTCTTGTCACTGCTCTCTCTATCTATATCTGTGTGTTGATAGTAAAGAATAAAACATATGATCAAGGTGTAAGCAAGAGGAAGCATAGTTAGAAATCATTCAATAGGGACATGTTAGCATTAGGTAAATTTTATCCCCATGTTTACACATAAATGCCCATGCCCAAAGTATTTACGTTGCTGTACTCTTGGCTAATGGTAAGTTTCCAAAAGTTAGGAATCACACTCCTATAATACGGAATATTCTGAGAAATGCATAAGTAATGTTAGATGAAAACAATGATAGACGTGCTGTAAAGCTAACTGGCCTTTTAAATCTGTATCAACCCAAAGGAAAACAATTTTTTGTGCTATTGCAGACACGGGTGACCCATGTCTTTCAAATCCTTGCCCGAATGGAGCCACTTGTACTAAGGCAACAGGAACCAATCACATCTGCATCTGTCCCTCTGGATATTATGGGGAGAATTGTGATGGTATGTGAAGAAGTAAAACTATATACTGTACAAACGCCTTCTGTATTGGCAAGAAATCTGCACCCGAAGTAGAGTCCATTGTACAAATCCAACTAGGTCAGGAACAAAGTGTTCACTGATCACTTTCAGATAGAGATGATATCGTGTGCTCGGGAAAAGGTGTGCATATCCCGTCCTAACACTTGTTACAAACATATGTAACTCGTCCTTCCATCCCTCGTTAGCTCGAAAACAATCTCATCAGACGTTTTTCAGCAGGAACCCTATCATTAAAACTGCTGGTCAGTTTATACATTGTCATTCCATTATGTGTAAAGGTTCAATCCCAACGATGACGTACATATCGCATGTGTGTTTATTTTTCTTTCAGAGAAGGATCCGTGTGAAAACTTTACAGAACTTAGCAACATAGGAACACGAGCCCCTAGTTACCCAGGAAGCCCAGTACTACATGACGACATCACACTGGCACCCGGCTGGTATGGGGCACCTGCTGGATGGGAACTACTCAGTCAGGACCCTGGCAACTCCACCAAGTGTGGAACAAGAAAGCCTATTTACAGAAAGAGTAAGATGTACCCCAAAACATTCCTGCATTGTTAACCATTTTTCAAAATGTTTGTTTTAACCTTTAAAGAATTCCTCGATCAACAAGTATCCAAATATATCATGCATCGGTTGGTTCCAATTTCTTTTGAATTGGCGATTTTCATATGTTTTCATAAGATTCGATGTGCCACTCCAAATGATATTTCCCTCAATATTAATTCATCTTCGAAGCATATGGTTAATGTTCCTATTAATCCTAAGACAATGCTTCTTATTGAACTTTTCTTTGACTAAATCTATTCTTGGTCTCTTTAAGGTAAGTCTGGTGACGCCTCGACCGTGTGTATTAGATACCCGAATGCGGTGTGTGCCAACCCGTATACCATCAGGACGACTATGTGCGGTGGCAGAGATATACGAGCTCAGTACGCAAACCAGTTTGTCAGGATTCTGCTTTCGTGAGTGCTTTTACGTTCCGTATGTAACCTCTAGCGGGTTCCTTACTTGTCTCAATACTATACAATAAGACAGATATGATCCTAGTAGAAACATGATGTTGGAAAGAAATAATTGTTCTAGTGAGGATAACGTCACGGTGGGTCTTCAAATAACAGTTTGAATTTTGGATTGAAAATCTTCTGAAGTGTGTGTTGATGTCCTCTGGACCAATGTTAGTGAGTGAGTGAATATGGTTTTGCGCTGCTTTTAGCAATATTCCACCAATGTCCCGGTGGAGGACATCAGAAATAGACTTGACACATTGTATCCATGTGGGGAATCGAACCCGGGTATTCGGCGTGACGTGCCAACGCTTTAACCGCTAGGCTACCCCACCGCCCTGGATCAATGTTAGGAACACCTAACTTGTTAATCCCACTCTACTAATTCCAACTGAAAATGTCATAAAAGTACATGCGTCGTCTTTGCTGACAAAAATATCATTTCCTATCTTCATATAAATGATTTTCCTAAATCTGTAAAAACCTATCGTGAAATAGCTTCTATGGTGTTGCAGACACGGATGACCCATGTCTGTCGAATCCTTGCGCCAACGGAGCCACTTGCATTAAAGCATCAGGAACCAATCACATCTGTTCCTGTGCCCCTGGATATTATGGAAAGAGCTGTGAAGGTATGTGCATGAGCAAAACACGAGATAATCCAATGAGAAAACTTCAATTTTAAACAGCATTCAATTATACCACAACAAACTTCATATGATATCCATTTGCCCAGTAAGCAGTGCCCTCCTCTGAATTTGAAGATTCATTTCAGAGTTCTATTGATTTGAGCTAAATATTCTGGAACACTTTAACCCTCTAGATGTAGTATTTCAACAAAAGATAGTGTTCTTGCACTGCAAACATACCAAATACACACACACACACAATCAATCAGAAATCAAAATTTAATTTTGGACAGTGGAAAAATATAGTTTGGTACTTTCTTAAAATTACTTAAGAATAATGCTATTGATATCAACAGGTGCTATAGATCATGAAGTAAACCTGAAAACATGAAAACTTGTTTTCAATTATGATATTGCTGTTTCATTCTGAATACATTTTCCATACCAATGTTGATTGATTGTATGTGTGTGCTACTTTGATTTCAGAGAAGGATCCATGTGGAAACTTTACAGAACTTGAAAACATACCTACCCGAGCTCCTAGTTACCCAGGATATCCCGTTCTACATGACGACAGCACACTGGCACCTGGCTGGTATGGGGCACCTGCTGGATGGGAATTACTCAGTCGGGATCCTGGCAACTCCACCAAGTGTGGAACAAGGAAGCCCATTTACAGAACGAGTAAGACGTCTTCCTAAACGTATCTGTATTGATAAACATAATTTTAAATGCTTCTTTTACTTTTAATGAATCTCTTCATCAACAAGTATTAAATTACATCAGTTTAATCCCAATTACAATTTAAGTGACGTTTCTCATATGTCGTCACAAACATCAATGTGACCATTCTAATAATGCTTCTTAATATCCTAGTGTTTCTTCTGAACATGTGGTAAGTTCATTGTTATATCAACCCTGATTCAAAATATTTTACTTTTAAAGAATGAGTCTTATTTGTCAATATTAGAAAGTGACTGTTTCACTTTTAGACACAGGAGATATACGGCCATGCTCCTTATTGGAGATTTCCCTTAACAAATCTATGCTTGTTTTCTTCAAGGTAAGTCTGGTGACGCTTCAACCGTGTGTATTAGGTTCCCAAACGCGGTCTGCTACAAACCCTACACCATCAGGACGACGATGTGCAGTGGCAGAGAGATATACGAGCTGAATACGGAAACTAGTTTGTCAGGATTCTGCTTTCGTAAGTGCGTTTACGTTCCTAACATAATTCTTGTCACTGCTCTCTCTATCTATATCTGTGTGTTGATAGTAAAGAATAAAACATATGATCAAGGTGTAAGCAAGAGGAAGCATAGTTAGAAATCATTCAATAGGGACATGTTAGCATTAGGTAAATTTTATCCCCATGTTTACACATAAATGCCCATGCCCAAAGTATTTACGTTGCTGTACTCTTGGCTAATGGTAAGTTTCCAAAAGTTAGGAATCACACTCCTATAATACGGAATATTCTGAGAAATGCATAAGTAATGTTAGATGAAAACAATGATAGACGTGCTGTAAAGCTAACTGGCCTTTTAAATCTGTATCCACCCAAAGGAAAACAATTTTTTGTGCTATTGCAGAAACGGATGACCCATGCCTTTCAAATCCTTGCCCGAATGGAGCCACTTGTACTAAGGCAACAGGAACCAATCACATCTGCATCTGTCCCTCTGGATATTATGGGGAGAATTGTGATGGTATGTGAAGAAGTAAAACTATATACTGTACAAACGCCTTCTGTATTGGCAAGAAATCTGCACCCGAAGTAGAGTCCATTGTACAAATCCAACTAGGTCAGGAACAAAGTGTTCACTGATCACTTTCAGATAGAGATGATATCGTGTGCTCGGGAAAAGGTGTGCATATCCCGTCCTAACACATGTTACAAACATATGTAACTCGTCCTTCCATCCCTCGTTAGCTCGAAAATAATCTCATCAGACGTTTTTCAGCAGGAACCCTATCATTAAAACTGCTGGTCAGTTTATACATTGTCATTCCATTATGTGTAAAGGTTCAATCCCAACGATGACGTACATATCGCATGTGTGTTTATTTTTCTTTCAGAGAAGGATCCGTGTGAAAACTTTACAGAACTTAGCAACATAGGAACACGAGCCCCTAGTTACCCAGGAAGCCCAGTACTACATGACGACATCACACTGGCACCCGGCTGGTATGGGGCACCTGCTGGATGGGAACTACTCAGTCAGGACCCTGGCAACTCCACCAAGTGTGGAACAAGAAAGCCTATTTACAGAAAGAGTAAGATGTACCCCAAAACATTCCTGCATTGTTAACCATTTTTCAAAATGTTTGTTTTAACCTTTAAAGAATTCCTCGATCAACAAGTATCCAAATATATCATGCATCGGTTGGTTCCAATTTCTTTTGAATTGGCGATTTTCATATGTTTTCATAAGATTCGATGTGCCACTCCAAATGATATTTCCCTCAATATTAATTCATCTTCGAAGCATATGTTTAATGTTCCTATTAATCCTAAGACAATGCTTCTTATTGAACTTTTCTTTGACTAAATCTATTCTTGGTCTCTTTAAGGTAAGTCTGGTGACGCCTCGACCGTGTGTATTAGATACCCGAATGCGGTGTGTGCCAACCCGTATACCATCAGGACGACTATGTGCGGTGGCAGAGAGATATACGAGCTCAGTACGCAAACCAGTTTGTCAGGATTCTGCTTTCGTGAGTGCTTTTACGTTCCGTATGTAACCTCTAGCGGGTTCCTTACTTGTCTCAATACTATACAATAAGACAGATATGATCCTAGTAGAAACATGATGTTGGAAAGAAATAATTGTTTTAGTGAGGATAACGTCACGGTGGGTCTTCAAATAACAGTTTGAATTTTGGATTGAAAATCTTCTGAAGTGTGTGTTGATGTCCTCTGGACCAATGTTAGTGAGTGAGTGAATATGGTTTTGCGCTGCTTTTAGCAATATTCCACCAATGTCCCGGTGGAGGACACCAGAAATAGACTTGACACATTGTATCCATGTGGGGAATCGAACCCGGGTATTCGGCGTGACGTGCCAACGCTTTAACCGCTAGGCTACCCCACCGCCCCTGGATCAATGTTAGGAACACCTAACTTGTTAATCCCACTCTACTAATTCCAACTGAGAATGTCATAAAGTACATGCGTCGTCTTTGCTGACAAAAATATCATTTCCTATCTTCATATAAATGATTTTCCTAAATCTGTAAAAACCTATCGTGAAATAGCTTCTATGGTGTTGCAGACACGGATGACCCATGTCTGTCGAATCCTTGCGCCAACGGAGCCACTTGCATTAAAGCATCAGGAACCAATCACATCTGTTCCTGTGCCCCTGGATATTATGGAAAGAGCTGTGAAGGTATGTGCATGAGCAAAACACGAGATAATCCAATGAGAAAACTTCAATTTTAAACAGCATTCAATTATACCACAACAAACTTCATATGATATCCATTTGCCCAGTAAGCAGTGCCCTCCTCTGAATTTGAAGATTCATTTCAGAGTTCTATTGATTTGAGCTAAATATTCTGGAACACTTTAACCCTCTAGATGTAGTATTTCAACAAAAGATAGTGTTCTGGCACTGCAAACATACCAAATACACACAAACACAATCAATCAGAAATCAAAATTTAATTTTGGACAGTGGAAAAATATAGTTTGGTACTTTCTTAAAATTACTTAAGAATAATGCTATTGATATCAACAGGTGCTATAGATCATGAAGTAAACCTGAAAACATGAAAACTTGTTTTCAATTATGATATTGCTGTTTCATTCTGAATACATTTTCCATACCAATGTTGATTGATTGTATGTGTGTGCTACTTTGATTTCAGAGAAGGATCCATGTGGAAACTATACAGAACTTGAAAACATACCTACCCGAGCTCCTAGTTACCCAGGATATCCCGTTCTACATGACGACAGCACACTGGCACCTGGCTGGTATGGGGCACCTGCTGGATGGGAACTACTCGGTCGGGATCCTGGCAACTCCACCAAGTGTGGAACAAGGAAGCCCATTTACAGAACGAGTAAGACGTCTTCCTTAACGTATCTGTATTGATAAACATAATTTTAAATGCTTCGTTTTACTTTTAATGAATCTCTTCATCAACAAGTATTAAATTACATCAGTTTAATCCCAATTACAATTTAAGTGACGTTTCTCATATGTCGTCACAAACATCAATGTCACAATTCAAATAATGCTTCTTAATATCCTAGTGTTTCTTCTGAACATGTGGTAAGTTCATTGTTATATCAACCCTGATTCAAAATATTTTACTTTTAAAGAATGAGTCTTATTTGTCAATATTAGAAAGTGACTGTTTCACTTTTAGACACAGGAGATATACGGCCATGCTCCTTATTGGGGATATGCCTTAACAAAATCTATGCTTGTTTTCTTCAAGGTAAGTCTGGTGACGCTTCAACCGTGTGTGTTAGGTTCCCAAACGCGGTCTGCTACAAACCCTACACCATCAGGACGACGATGTGCAGTGGCAGAGAGATATACGAGCTGAATACGGAAACTAGTTTGTCAGGATTCTGCTTTCGTAAGTGCGTTTACGTTCCTAAGATGACACTTGTCACTGCTCTCTCTATCTATATCTGTGTGTTGATAGTAAAGAATAAAACATATGATTAAGGTGTAAGCAAGAGGAAGCATAGTTAGAAATCGTTCAATAGGGACATGTTAGCATTAGGTAAATTTTATCCCCATGTTTACACATAAATGCCCATGCCCAAAGTATTTACGTTGCTGTACTCTTGGCTAATGGTAAGTTTCCAAAAGTTAGGAATCACACTCCTATAATACGGAATATTCTGAGAAATGCATAAGTAATGTTAGATGAAATCAATGATAGACGTACTGTGAAGCTAACTGGCCTTTTAAATCTGTATCCTCCCAAAGAAAACAATTCTTTGTGCTATTGCAGACACGGATGACCCATGTCTTTCAAATCCTTGCCCGAATGGAGCCACTTGTACTAAGGCAACAGGAACCAATCACATCTGCATCTGTCCCTCTGGATATTATGGAGAGAATTGTGATGGTATGTGAAGAAGTAAAACTATATACTGTACAAACGCCTTCTGTATTGGCAAGAATCCCGAAGTAGAGTCGATTGTACAAATCCAACTAGGTCAGGAACTAAGTGTTCACTGATCACTTTCAGATAGAGATGATATCGTGTGCTCGGGAAAAGGTGTGCATATCCCGTCCTTACACATGTTACAAACATATGTAACTCGTCCTTCCATCCCTCGTTAAATCGAAAATAATCTCATCAGACGTTTCTCAGCAGGAACCCTATCATTAAAACTGCTGGTCAGTTACTACATTGTCATTCCATTATGTGTAAAGGTTCAATCCCAACGATGACGTACATATCGCATGTGTGTTTATTTTTCTTTCAGAGAAGGATCCGTGTGAAAACTTTACAGAACTTGAAAACATAGGAACACGAGCCCCTAGTTACCCAGGAAGCCCAGTACTACATGACGACATCACACTGGCACCCGGCTGGTATGGGGCACCTGCTGGATGGGAACTACTCAGTCAGGACCCTGGCAACTCCACCAAGTGTGGAACAAGAAAGCCTATTTACAGAAAGAGTAAGATGTACCCCAAAACATTCCTGCATTGTTAACCATTTTTCAAAATGTTTGTTTTAACCTTTAAAGAATTCCTCGATCAACAAGTATCCAAATATATCATGCATCAGTTGGTTCCAATTTCTTTTGAATTGGCGATTTTCATATGTTTTCATAAGATTCGATGTGCCACTCCAAATGATATTTCCCTCAATATTAATTCATCTTCGAAGCATATGTTTAATGTTCCTATTAATCCTAAGACAATGCTTCTTATTGAACTTTTCTTTGACTAAATCTATTCTTGGTCTCTTTAAGGTAAGTCTGGTGACGCCTCGACCGTGTGTATTAGATACCCGAATGCGGTGTGTGCCAACCCGTATACCATCAGGACGACTATGTGCGGTGGCAGAGAGATATACGAGCTCAGTACGCAAACCAGTTTGTCAGGATTCTGCTTTCGTGAGTGCTTTTACGTTCCGTATGTAACCTCTAGCGGGTTTCTTATTTGTGTCAATAGTATACAATAAGACAGATATGATCCTAGTAGAAACATGATGTTGGAAAGAAATAATTGTTCTAGTGAGGATAACGTCACGGTGGGTCTTTAAATAACAGTTTGAATTTTGGATTGAAAATCTTCTGAAGTGTGTGTTGATGTCCTCTGGACCAATGTTAGTGAGTGAGTGAATATGGTTTTGCGCTGCTGCTTTTAGTGATATTCCAGAAATATCACTGCAGAGGACATCAGAAATTGGCTTGACTGACTGACTGACTGACTGAGTTTAGTTTTACGCCGCTTTTAGCAATATTCCAGCAATATCACGGCGGGGGACACCAGAAATGGGCTTAACACATTGTGCCCATGTGGGGAATCGAACACGGGTCTTCGGCGTGACGAGCCAACGCTTTAACCACTAGGCTACCCCACCGCCCCTGGATCAATGTTAGGAAAACCTAACTTGATAATCCCACTCTACTAATTCCAGCTGAGAATGTCATAAAGTACATGCGTCGTCTTTGCTGACAAAAATATCATTTCCTATCTTCATATAAATGATATTCCTAAATCTGTAAAAAACCTATCGTGAAATATCTTTCTTGTGTTGCAGACACGGAAGACCCATGTCTGTCGAATCCTTGCGCCAACGGAGCCACTTGCATTAAAGCATCAGGAACCAATCACATCTGTTCCTGTGCCCCTGGATATTATGGAAAGAGCTGTGAAGGTATGTGCATGAGCAAAACACGAGATAAACCAATGAGAAAACTTCAATTTTAAACAGCATTCAATTATACCACAACAAACTTCATATGATCTCCATTCGCCCAGTAAGCAGTGCCCTTCTCTGAATTTGAACATTCATTTCATAGTTCTGTTGATTTGAGCTAAATATTCTGGAACATTTTAATCCTCTAGATGAAGTATTTCAACAAAACATAGTGTTCTCGCACTGCAGACATACCAAATACACACACACACACAATCAATCACAAATCAGTATTTAATTTTGGACAGTGGAAAAACTTTCTTAAAATTACTTAAGAATAATGCTATTGATATCAACGGATGCTATAGATCATGAAGTAAACCTGAAAACATGAAAGCTTGTTTTCAATTATGATATTGCTGTTTCATTCTGTATACATTTTCCATACCAATGTTGATTGATTGTATGTGTGTGCTACTTTGATTTCAGAGAAGGATCCATGTGGAAACTTTACAGAACTTGAAAACATACCTACCCGAGCCCCTAGTTACCCAGGATATCCCGTTCTACATGACGACAGCACACTGGCACCTGGCTGGTATGGGGCACCTGCTGGATGGGAATTACTCAGTCGGGATCCTGGCAACTCCACCACGTGTGGAACAAGAAAGCCCATTTACAGAACCAGTAAGATGGCTTCCTAAACGTATCTGTATTGATAAACATAATTTTAAATGCTTCTTTTTACTTTTGATGAACTCTCCATCAACAAGTATTAAATTACATCAGTTTAATCCAAATTTCAATTTAAGTGACTTTTCTCATATGTCGTCACAAACATCAATGTGACCATTCAAATGATGTTTCTTAATATACTAGTGTTTCTTCTTAACATGTGGGAAGTTTCCCAATAGATCTGCAGGTCTTTGTTATATCAACCCTGATTCAAAATATTTTACTTTTAAAGAATGAGTCTTATTTGTCAATATTAGAAAGTGACTGTTTCACTTTTAGACACAGGAGATATACGGCCATGCTCCTTATTGGAGATTTCCCTTAACAAAATCTATGCTTGTTTTCTTCAAGGTAAGTCTGGTGGCGCTTCAACCGTGTGTATTAGGTTCCCAAACGCGGTCTGCTACAAACCCTACACCATCAGGACGACGATGTGCAGTGGCAGAGAGATATACGAGCTGAATACGGAAACTAGTTTGTCAGGATTCTGCTTTCGTAAGTGCGTTTACGTTCCTAAGATGACTCTTGTCACTGCTCTCTCTATCTATATCTGTGTGTTGATAGTAAAGAATAAAACACATGATTAAGGTGTAAGCAAGAGGAAGCATAGTTAGAAATCATTCACTATGGACATGTTAGCATTAAGTAAATTTTATCCCCATGTTTACACATAAATGCCCATGCCCAAAGTATTTACGTTGCTTTACTCTTGGCTAATGGTAAGTTTCCAAAAGTTAGGAATCACACTCCTATAATACGGAATATTCTGAGAAATGCATAAGTAATGTTAGATGAAAACAATGATAGACGTACTGTGAAGCTAAATGGCCTTTTAAATCTGTATCCTCCCAAAGGAAAACAATTTTTGTGCTATTGCAGACACGGATGACCCATGTCTTTCAAATCCTTGCCCGAATGGAGCCACTTGTACTAAGGCAACAGGAACCAATCACATCTGCATCTGTCCCTCTGGATATTATGGGGAGACTTGTGACGGTATGTGAAGAAGTAAAACTATATACTGTACAAACGCCTTCTGAATTGACAAGAAATCTGCACCCGAAGTAGAGTCGATTGTACAAATCCAACTAGGTCAGGAACAAAGTGTTCATCAATCACTTTCAGATAGAGATGACATCGTGTGTTCGGGAAAAGGTGTGCATATCCCGTCCTAACACTTGTTACAAACATATGTAACTCGTCCTTCCATCCCTCGTTAAATCGAAAACAATCTCATCAGACGTTTCTCAGCAGGAACCCTATCATTAAAACTGCTGGTCAGTTACTACATTGTCATTCCATTATGTGTAAAGGTTCAATCCCAACGATGACGTACATATCGCATGTGTGTTTATTTTTCTTTCAGAGAAGGATCCGTGTGAAAACTTTACAGAACTTGAAAACATAGGAACACGAGCCCCTAGTTACCCAGGAAGCCCAGTACTACATGACGACATCACACTGGCACCCGGCTGGTATGGGGCACCTGCTGGATGGGAACTACTCAGTCAGGACCCTGGCAACTCCACCAAGTGTGGAACGAGAAAGCCTATTTATAGAACGAGTAAGATGTATTCCCAAATGATGTATTTCTGTGTTCTTGAACAATTGAGGAAATGCTGCTGTTTCGCTTTCTTGTAATTCCTGGATAACAAATACGTGGTTTATAAGGGGATTTGACACTTGAAATTAATTCAAATAGACTACTGCGTTCTCAGATACCAGCGATGTTCCCCAAATAGTTTCAATGTCTGTTTTGCCTAACTGATTCTCCTTCATTTTCAGGCTTAGGAGATAAAGTTTACGTGATGAATGTGGAGTTCAACTGAATTCAGTTATTTCATTTTAAGGCGTCTCAATGTTGTGAAGGTGTCAGTTATTTAAAGCATGTACTTCTATTCAAACTTCATGACACACCCTTTTTGCTAGCAATTAGCTTTCAATCGAGATTGTCCATGAAATGCCGGTTTCATCCAGAGAAATGTGGTATGGCGCAGTGCATATCCGCCTGGCGCTATGATCTTTACATGGAGTATCCACTGTTCCTCATTCACTGGTACCTCGGCTTATGGAGAGTGAATGATCTGTGCTACCTGTTAGCACACCCGACATTTTGCGGAAACTGGTGGCATTTTCAGTGATCGCGTCTATTTTGATAGATATTCGAGACTGATCATTCCTTGGCCCTGACGTCTTGACCTGTTCCACTTGTTCATTCATTCCTTCACTACGCGAATCATCACATTCTTAACTGATCATGGCAAAATCATGACACATCTGTGGTTCTTTTTATGATTATTCACTGTGATTATACTGTCTGTACATAACCATTTTATTCACACCACTTTCTTAGTGTATCTTCATATATGGTGTAGACTTTCCTTTGAATCGACATGTCGGTCATATTGACAGTGAATCAGAATCTATTGCTTCCAAAGACTTGTACAATTGTGTTATTCCTCTCTGACATTTAGCAGTTTATACCATAACCCTTTGACTTTCATATATTACAGGTATTAATTCATGGTTTTTACTGGAATCATTTTGACCAGAACTATGTTCGGTTTCTTCAAGGTAAATCCCGTGATACTTCCACGGTGTGTACAAGGTTCCCAAACAACCCATGCTACAGACCCTACACCATCCGGACTACGACGTGTGGCGGCAGAGAGATATACGAACTCTATACACAGATCAGTTTAGCAGGATTCTGCTTTTGTAAGTCGATTTATTTGGTGAATGCGTTATTATTTACTCAGAGGTCTTAATTCAAAAGGATTCATTGTGAAAACAACAAAGACATATTGCTTGTACCATGAGTATGACTAATACAAATCAATACAAGATGTAGATGTACACAACAGAATGGATGTACGAAATACGGAAGATCTACCAGGACAGGGTTAACACAGAAGCAGTGGTTCTAGTATTAAATACTATTGGTAATACTATTCACCTAGCAGCAATAGCTGTTAAGATTCCAAAATCGGCGTTGGTGGTTTTGAATTAATTCGAGATGATTGCCTACATACATAGTCTTAATTCCTTCTGGGTAGTTTGGCACCGTATAGGGTTAGTGTAAAGCCTATCTGCAATTTTCAACATCAGACTTGTCTTCAAAAGCATAAAATTATAGTAAGCTTCACACCACTGATAAAATTATATAGTACAGCATTCTTTACCACTAATACTGTTTAAACTCAATGTTAGGAACTCCTTCTGAACCTGAACCTCAGAAATGTAATACCATAACATTGTTTTACAATAAATGACTCTTCCTTCCAACACGATACAATAGAGAGAATAGACCAAGCTTGGATTCATGATGGTGTCAGTGAAGGTTGTTGTCTTGACAAGTAGCAACGTGTGTATGGACACAATCTGTGTTTTGGTGTGCCCTTGACAGGTGCGACATGATGGTGTCAGTGAAGGTTGTTGTCTTGACAAGTAGCAACGTGTGTATGGACACAATCTGTGTTTTGGTGTGCCCTTGACAGGTGCGACATGATGGTGTCAGTGAAGGTTGTTGTCTTGACAAGTAGCAACGTGTGTATGGACACAATCTGTGTTTTGGTGTGCCCTTGACAGGTGCGGCGGACAGGAAATGCTATCTGTTTGAGAACTTATAATTACTCTATATAACATAAACATTTGTTAGAAATTCCCACGCATGATACATGTCCGACATCGCCCAATGTGCAAAGCTTTTAGCCGAGATACTTTATCATTGCAGAAATATATTTTTGTCTTTTCTATTAATATAGAAGCATTTACAAAGTTCAAAACAGGATGTTGTACAAGGGAACCTACATCGACACAATATTGTCAACAATCAGCATATTTGCTGTTCTTCAATCGCATTCTTAAAGCTACAACTAGCAGTCAATCACTCAGTATGTTTTTCCTATTGCAGACACGACTGACCCATGTCTTTCCAATCCTTGTTTAAATGGAGGCACTTGCACTCAGGCGTCAGGAACCAATCACATCTGTTCCTGTGCCCCCGGGTACTATGGGGAAAACTGTGAAGGTATGTTCCTGTGCCCCCGGGTGCTATGGGAAAAACTGTGAAGGTATGTTCCCATGCCCTCGGGTACTATGGGGGAAACTGTAAAGGTATGTCCCTGTGCCCCCGGGTACTATGGGGAAAACTGTGAAGGTATGTTTCTGTGCCCCCGGGTACTATGGGGAAAACTGAAGGTATGTTTCTGTGCCCCGGGCACTATGGGGGAAACTGTGAAGGTATGTTTCTGTGTCCCCGGGTACCATGAGGAAACTGTGAAGGTATGTTCCTGTGTTTCCGGGTACTATGGGGGAAACCGTGAAGGTATGACTCTGTGCCCCCGGATACTATGGGCAAAACTGTGATGGTATGTTCCTGTGCCCCCGGGTACTATGGGGGAAACTGTGAAGGTATGTTCCTGTGCCCCCGGGTAGTATGGGGGGATATGTGAAGGTATGTTTCTGTGCCTCCGGTCGCTATGGGAAAAACTGTGAAGGTATGTTCCTGTGCCACCGGGTAGTATGGGGGGATATGTGATGGTATGTTCCTGTGCCCCCGGGTACTATGGGGGAAACTGTGAAGGTATGTTCCTGTGCCACCGGGTACTATGGGGGAAACTGTGAAGGTATGCTCCTGTGCCCCCGGTCGCTATGGGAAAAACTGTGAAGGTATGTTCCTGTGCCCCTGGGTAGTATGGGGGGATATGTGAAGGTATGTTTCTGTGCCTCCGGTCGCTATGGGAAAAACTGTGAAGGTATGTTCCTGTGCCCCCGGGTACTATGGGGGAAACTGTGAAGGTATGTTCCTGTGCCCCTGGGTACTATGGTGAAAACTGTGAAGATAAGTTCCTCTGCCCCCGGGTACTATGGGGGGACATGTGAAGGTATGTTCCTGTTTCCCCGGCTGCTATGGAGGAAATTGTGAAGGTACGTTTCCATGCCTCTGGATACTATGGGAAAACTGTAAAGTTATTGCACATACTGAATCATAGATTTTTATCAATTACATATTGAATGGTATGAAAGGTAGCCCGTACCCACAACGAATAACAGCCTGGATTTTACATAGTGCTTACTAGCTGGATCCACGATTGATAATAATCAACAAACAATGTAATTAGACATATATTAAAGGGTGTAATCTTGTACAATGGTGGGTCTTTATGGTGGTGGCAACACGTGTAGAGGACGCTCTCCATTTGTAACCTGTAGACATCCACCATTGTCTGTTTATCCATCTTAGACGGAGACCCATGTGGAAACTTCACAGAACTTAACAACATAGCAACACGAGACTCCAGTTACCCAGGAAACACCGTCCTTCATGACGACAGCACACTCGCACCTGGCTGGTATGGGGCACCTGCTGGATGGGCACTACTCAGTCAAGATCCCGGAGACTGGAAACTGTGTGGCACAAGAAAACCCATTTATAGAACACGTAATACTATTGTCGTCCTGTTAGAACTTAAGTGACAGCCCTTTCTACCCACTGTTTATGCTTACATTTCAAACTCTTGTCTCTCAATATCGTAACTGGTGTAAATAACCTACCAAATTACAAATCTCGTTAAAGTCATCATGATTGAATTTGTTGATGTTGTTGACACAAAGCTGTGTCCTTCAGTAGCTGAGTTCACTCGAATGATGTCAGTGCATTATCTCCCTTTCTGAATAACAGAAGCAATAGCTGTCAGTACAAACGAACAAGCATACTAAAAGTGGTTATTATGAGTTGGATTAGCTTTCACCTGTATGTCATTAACGACACAATTTACTTTCATTTCTTCAGGTAAAGATGGCGATACAACTACTGTGTGTACAAGGTTCCCCAATGTGACGTGTAGTAACCCGTACACCATCCGCACCACGATGTGTGGCGGCAGAGAGATATACGAACTGAGTACACAAACTAGTTTAGCAGGATTCTGCTTTTGTAAGTAGCTTTCTTAAATTCGAAAAAGTCCTGAAATAACTTTGAAAGTATCACTCTGTGTGCAAAGAGGAAATGGTAGCTGAAATCTGAGCTGTTACGTCATGTTCACCTTATGTATTGCGTTTCATCATATGTGTTAACGTATGTCGATGGGCCACCCGTGACGAGCAAGGTTAGAATTGATCTTGGTTGTCGTAAAAGGTCACACACGGAATTGGGTTCATGATGCAATCACTGGATTGTCTGGTGGAACAAAGCAAAGGAAATATTTCTAGCCGTGAAATATCCTAGTTTTCAAAAGCCACTGTTCTGAAGACGTGCATGAAGGTTTATTGAAGGTTTTGTAGAGCCCCTTAAGTAGATATGCTAAATATGGCATTAAAATCAACTCATTACCAACGAAGTAACTATCGGTGTATTGCTGACCTACGTAATTGTGATATCAAGTCTCTAATTTAACGTGTTGAATTCCAAGGTGACACAAGATAGTTAACCGGGAATGAGCCCTCAAAAGAACTTGTAACACTGCGTAATATGTGTCGTTAGTATCAAATACAGAATCTGACCGTCCACCTTTCCTTGATCTTGTTCCAGCTTGCAGCGGCCGGAAGCTGGACATCCTCATCCTGGTAGACGTGTCACTCTCAGTTGGCACCACCAAATTTTGGCAAATGAAAACGTTTCAACAAGCGATGCTTCGTTCTACTGACATTAGCCTCAATACCAACAACATTGCATTTATGGACTTTTCTGTGAGCGCTAGAGTAGTCTTCCCACTGAATGCCTATGCCAACGACAAAGAAGCTGTGTTGGCGGCAATAAAGCAGGAGGTGTATACAAAGGGAGCTACGACCAATATTGGCGAGGCCATCAGGCTAGCCGTCACTGACGTGTTTACAGAGGAAAATGGCGACCGACCAGACGCTGACAATATGATCTTCCTCTTTACCGACGGCCTTGTTACGGATGAAGATAAAGTGATTGCAGCTGCCATGACGGATCAACTTTCTGCAAAAGCGGAAGTATTCGTCGTGGCCATCTCCGACGTTCTGAGTGATTCCATCATCCACACACTGGCCTCCAAACCTGGAAGTGAACATATCTTTCATCTGGATGCCCCGGACACTCTCAATAAGGTCCACCAGAAGGTCATGCCGTGTACTATGGTGTGACTCGACAGACTGTCAGGGAAATACACAGATGAAGAGGGTTAGCGAAGCCTAATCTTTATGTTTAATATAAATTCTGCATCTAAAACGTGTTTGTTATCTGTAAGCATCTAATGATCAGCTCCTTGAGTAGACGAAGGAACACGCATATGCATCTAAAACATGATCAGCTCCTTTGCTTGACCGGTCGTGCAGTACGTGAGACCCTTGCTCGAGAAGTAGAGCCCAATTCGGGATATAGTGTCAGTGGTGATTTAGATGGGCGAGATGACAGCACCAAAGTCTGGGTCATCAGAAGTTTACTGAGAAAAACAATGTATAGTTGGAAAGAGCCTTGTTCACTTTTATTTATATAAAGAAAACCATTGAATCTAAACAAAAAAATGTCAGCCAGCTTGGACAGTTACCATGGCGGCAAGGTATGTTTTCCTTTCTGCGATCAGATTACAGATAAGGACAAGGGTTTGAGCGCTACAAGTGCAGAGTGAAAGTGTATTGATTGCAAAGTTAGCTACCCCTAAATGTTGCATTTGCGTGTCATTGGGAGGACAACATGCAGATAAGGGCAGTTTTGAAAGACTCAACATGCCTGACAATAAAACATTTTTCAACAATCTCAATAGATCAGCCATAAACGTCATAAGAAGAACAGTTCGACATGATGGCAGGGATAACACGATGGTGAGCCCTTCAGGCAATGTCGCAAAACAATGCACAGGTTGAAAAGATTATAGTACGCATCTTTCAGCTTCGCGACCACTGTCAGCAGTTTTATAAAAATGAAATAGTGATTATATACATGTGTACAAATAGTGATTGTATACATGTGTACAAATAGTGATTATATACATGTGTACAAATAGTGATTATATACATGTGTACAAATAGTGATTATATACATGTGTACAAATAGTGATTATATACATGTGTACAAATAGTGATTATATACATGTATACAAATAGTGAGTATAGACATGTGTACAAATAGTGATTATATACATGTGTACAAATAGTGATTATATACATGTGTACAAATAGTGATTATATACATGTATACAAATAGTGATTATATACATGTGTACAAATGCCACGGCTTCAATGCATCAACGAATAGAACTGAAACGTTATCATATTTCGGACGACTGGTTTGGGATAAGTTGAGACAAATATTGTATTTATGTTTGTGACGGTTGTGTTTTGTCAATTATAATAACTTACTAATCAGAACACAAATACAATTACCTATGGGTATTAACGCCGTATGCTCTGGAATTTTGAAGGAACTGTAATTCGTGTGATCGCTTTCAGACAGACAGCCGTCAGGTGCCATGTGCCACGTAAACCAACATAAACTACAAAATATGCATGATGCAACGAGTGAGTGAGTGAGTGAGTATGGTTTAACGCCGCTGGAAGCATTATACCAGCAACATCTCAAAAGAAGCAACTGTTATATGAAATAGAAATACCATTACAGGGCCGAGAGACACCCTCACATAACTGTCATTGAAAACTCCATTCAAAGTATGATTTTTGAAACTGTTAACTGAATACCGTGTTACTTGGTTTTGTGAAAAAAGAGCAACAAAACTTTGACATAATATCTGAGGAATACACATCCCATGATATAAAATATGTTCTATTATCTCATGATAGACACAATGAACATGTACTTAGAGACATATTTTTATTGAATATGAAATAATGTCATGTACAGGTATTTGATCATCTTAGTCACGTTTAAAGTCTGCCCTCGAACAATTTACCTCCTTTGAGAACATGGCGCAATCTTCATCACTACTTTCTGAACATCAAGGTGGAAGATGTGTTCACTACGATGGTTCAAAGCAGTTGCATTAAAGGAGGAACCCATAGTGCCCAATGCTAGCAACAGCAAATATTTGTGCTTTAACAGAAAACTGGCCAAGCAGTGCAGCCACAGCTACCCAATCTGCATCCTTAACAAAGCCATCAGTGCACAGGATGACCACAATGTCGGCTAACGAACAACCGCTATTCTTTAATACGTCAGAACCAGTCGGATCGGTGGTGTCAGCAATATGCATTTCCATATTGTTGCTGATTAATAGCTGACAGAGGTAAAATAGATGTAGGTGTTACAGAAAACACAAGTAATGCAACGTTGTTAATGTTGGAGCCTTTGTCAGGCTGTTCGAAATCTTGAAATCTGTTCATTTCCTCCAACTGGTCCGGCTCCCTCTGCGTGATGCATCAGGCATGATGGGATGGGACATCAGATGCACACTACAACAGAGAAGGTGCACCATCTTAAAACGAATCTTCAAGATGCACCGATCAGTCCTGGTTTGTTAAACATGAAACAATTGTTGCTCTTACTGCCAGGATAGGGAAACTTGGAAAGTATTCTCTAGTGTATTTTGACTGGCGAGGGAAACTGGAAGGTAGCCTAGCATGGGTTCAAAGAGTCAGTCAGGAGAGATTACGAAAATATTCTGATGCAGAATCCGAACGTGGACACCATCATTAGGATGGCTTCTGTTCTGACACCGATCCAAGATGACAGTCACGTCGAGCTGTTGACTTCATATTATACATTATGTCACAGAGGTCACGGCAGGAAATAGAAAAAGGATGAAACACATATTTTGTAAGACAAAATAGATAAACGTCAAGTAGGATAAGCATTCGTATCTGATGTGAGGAGTTAGGTCTGGAAATTATAGCCAGTGAGAAATGCCTAAACCTAAATGCAAGAAACTACCGAATGAATACATAAATACATCAGGCTAGGTTATTGTGAAACAAACTCTGCAGGTGAGAGAAACTCATGTGTAGCATGCAGACAACTGAAGTCAGGCAAGAGAAGGATTGAACACCTTTCTGTCTTTGACCGCTGAGGTTGACTCTTCTAACCAAACCCGACATGCCTCGTTGTGTGTCTTATATGTGAACGAAACCTGAAACGTGTCAACAATGTTATGTTTCAAATACGCCGTTCATGAACCTTAGGAAACGGGCGTAAAATATGTGTTGCTGCCGTATAAAGATTCGTTCATGTATACTACCCATCAAAAGTTTAGACTCACTAGTGTAAATTTAGCCACTTACTTCAGTCAACTGTTCTAAACTAGATTTCGAAAAATATTCCATACTGTTTAAAGATACTGTTTACACATGAACTGATGTATTGTAAAACAAATTCGTAACGTTGAAAAGATTATTGTCATGAGTTCATTAAATGATGAAACTCAGTGAAAAATGGCGAATTCTTAACAAAACTTTCTTGATATCCGGTGAACTCCTGCATTAGTTTCAACTGGGGAATGATCACGTGACAACCTGAACGATGCAGTGGTCATTAAATACATCAATACAAAGTATTCAGAGAGAATGTAAGTGGCAAGTATCTGGGACCTGTGTATCTTACTGGGCAGTGTAACTTAATAATAATAATAATCTACTTTTATTGCGCCGAGTTCCAGCTAGGCTGCTCACAGGTGCTTGTGCAGTCCCAGTCTATTTCATTTCAAATAGATGTGTCTTTAGATGTTTTCGAAAAGTTTGTAGACTTGGAGCAGATTTTAGCGACATAGGAAGGTTGTTCTATAGCATGGGAGCAGCACATTCAAAGCAGCGTCCCCGTGTTTGGTCCTGGATGGTCTGACGAGTTGTGGTCTGAGAGTTCTTGTTGGTCTATGGTTGTTTAGAAGAGATGACTAGTAAGATGGAGCAGTGTTGGTCTTCGGGCACTTGTAGATGATGGTGAACACCCTGAATTGTATGCGTCTAGCAACAGGTAGCCAATGCAGTTCTCTTAACCTGAGGGTGATGTTGTTCTCGAGTTATGATCCTGGCTGCCGTGTTTTGTATAACCTGGAGTCGATGAACCAGGGAAGCTGTTATCCCAAACAAAAGATATGACTGTTGCTTGAGTGAGAGTTTTGGCGGTTTCATCTGACAGATATCGTCTTAGTTTACCAATCTGATGAAGATGGTAATGAGAAGACTGGCACATTTGGGTGACCTGCTTGTTCATGGTCACGTGGGAGTCGAAAACAACTCCTAGATTCTTCACTTGGGAAGAGGCAGGCACATTCACAGGTCTAATATTGACTGAGAATTCTGTCATACTTTCCTGTAAGTGCTTTGTCTCAGCAATGAATACTTCCGTTTTGTTGTCATTTAGTTTGAGAAAGTTGATTCTCACCCAAGTTCTGATGTTACTAATGCAGCTTTCCAGCTTCGTTACCTTGTCCTGAAGTGATACAATCCCGGAGGCGATACAGCTCTGGGTGTCAGATCAATGTCCAACAGTTCAGTGAGCTATCAGACAAAGAACGTCAGTTTTAAATTACGTGAATCAGATTCGCTGGGAGCTGAATATTCGGAGCCCAGCCCACCTTTAATACTATTGACACAGCAAACTTGCTTTAATTCTCAATACATGACACATATCCTGTTCACGTGTAAATCACACATAGCTGATTGCTTCGAGTATTTGAACAACTGATACTTTTCGCAAAGTACAAGATTGTCAGTTTGAACATGTATTAGTGAAGTAATCAAAAGTCTGTCTTGACACTGTTGTATCTCTATTAGACACATGGTTTGAAAATAACTGTGCTAAATCTACTACAGTTTTCATTTTCGTTACTTGATCACGGGAATATATAAATTCAGGATCCAAATAAATAAATAAATTCCCCGGCTATCTCATACCCCTCACTATAGTCTGTTTGCAGTGAAAACTTACCGATGAATTTCACTTTAAACAAAAAAGTAAATCAAATAAAGTGAAATTAAGATTGCGAATCATCATAATTTTACCTTGCCAATTGAACTTTTAAATTTCAGTATTTTATTTAGCTTAGGATAAAAGCTGTTTAACAAACGATCATAGTTTCAAATCGCTATTTTTGGTTTGTATTACAAGGGGGTACGCGCAGTAGTTGGAACAGTGAAACAAATGCACGTGCGGTGCGTGATGAGCGTTAACTTAGACTACCGTAGAAACCAACCCT